TCAAAAACCCACCTCAAGAGCCTTCAAAACCCAAAAACACAGTATCTCTGTAGTATTCAGAACAGTGGGACTCAGCAACTATATTCCCAGAACCACTAGCTCATCCTGTCTCTCACAGCTACTGCCAGGTTGTTGCATATGGAGAAGGAGGTGTTAAGGATAAAGATGTTCCAAAGAGGTTAAAGAATGAGTCTGATTTAGTAGAACAAAAGGTGATAATGAGGGCTAACAAATGAACTGCCTGTACTGTATAATGTTATGCAGTTGTGGAATTCGGAAATTCAAAATAGTCTGAACAAGTTCTCTCTCACTCTCCTACAAATCCCTGTCCCTGCACAGCTCTGACAAGCTGCCTTATCTCTAGACTGCTGTGACCATAATGCCAGCTACCCGATAGTCTTCTCCCTCTGCTTTGCCTTAGTTGGCTGCAACGAATGCATACATCTTGTTGGCTCTCTGTGTATGTGTGTGTGTGTGTGTGTGTGTGTGTGTGTGTGTGTGTGTGGAGGGACTTTAAAGAGAGCTTTGTTTAATTACAGAAGTTCTATGAAGAACTTGCAACATGAGGCACTTACCCAGATATAATTTATCAGGTTCTTTGATCACCTTCCTTCAGGAATCAGATGTCACTGAAGTCATTTTTCTGATTTAGAAAAAAAAAACCCACACAGAGACACAATTTAACCCTTAGTGCATAGCACTGAGCATAGTAGAGCTTTGAGCACAATGTAAGAAGGTGTTATTTTTGTTTTGGGTTTCTTCCCCAGTTACTTTTATGGGGATAACGTAGTTTACAGCAGTTTCCATGTTTTTGTTTTATTTCAGTGCTACTACATCCCTCACACCACCAGGGTCAATAACCCTCCACATGGAAGGGTTTTGAGAAAGAAGTAACACTGCTCTGCTACATTTAGGACATAATTTATGACTTCTAGGAAGAACTCAAGACAGGCAACTAGACAAGCGATCCACATCAAATTTAACAATTCCTTAATCCAAAATAGTAGATTAAAAGACGAATACTGGGCTGGAGTGATAGTACAGCAAGTAGGGCATTTAATTTGAACAGACTTGTCTGGGTTCAATTCCTGACACACTCAAATGGTTCGTTCCCTGACCACCACCAGGAGTGATCCCTGAGCCAGGAATAAGCCCTGAGCACCACTGGGTGTGACCCCAAAACCAAAATAAATAACAAGGTTGCAGCAGAGATTCAGAATTTAGGGCTCATAGGCATACCTGCACACTATAGAGTTTTACAGCTATAGCAAACAGATCTTTACTGACCTTGACCTGGTTTTCTTTCTACCTTGGCAGCACCTTGTCTCCTTTGTCAGCCCTGCGGCTTCCCAACTCTAAAACCTTGGAAGACTTCAGGGTTCTGTTCTGAACTTTTTCTACTCTTTGTGTTCTAGTCAGGTTAAACCTAGTTGTATAGCTTTAAATTGCATTTATCAGGCACATTTTACCCCAATGATCTATGAAAGAACTACTACAAAAAATAATGGCTTTAAGCAGTCAACATTGATTTAGATTATGAATCTATGGATTGGTTGGTTGGTTGAGCTTTCATGTGTGGCTGGGGATAAGCTGGATATAGATGGATCTAGAACGACCTCAGCTGGGATGACTTGGCAATTCAAGTTCTATAAAATGTCTTTTATGTTCCAGCAAGATAATGCAGACATGTTCTCACAGTGATTATGGAAATCAGGAGCAAACCAAGTCAATCATAGAAGCACTTTTTCTCCATCATGTTTGTTAAGACCTAGAAGACACAGCATCCTGGTTTATGTGTCTGGGCCATCATTTTTTTTAAGCTATAGATGTGTATGTCACATTGCTTAATGACATTGGAAGTTTACGCAAACAGCCTATACAAACTGAATCTCTGTTCTTGTTTTTAAAACATGTTCCTCTTCCAGTATTCATACTCTTTAGAATAAAGATGCTACAATCTACCCAGTAGCTCAAGTCACAAACCTGTCTTCTTTGAGGACATTTCTGTTTGAATCACTTTTTTTTTGGTGGGGTTGTTTTTTGTCTTGCAAAATTCCACCAGTTCTTTTCATATCTTGGACAATAACTCTTTATCAAGTGAGTGATGGGCAAATACTTTCTCCCACTATGTGGAGTGTCTTTTTGATTCTGGTCCTCATTTATTCTGCAGTGCAGAAGCTTCTCAGTTTGATGTATTCCTAAGTGTTTATATTTGCTTTCATTTGCTTGACGAACAGTGTTGCGTTCTTTTTTCTTTTCTTTTCCTTTTTTATTTTTTTAAGTAAAACAGATTTTATTTAGAGGTTTTTGAAGGATGTGGGGGGGGGAGGGAATAAAAGAGAGAGTACCACACTCAGCAGAGAAATCAGCCTTCTCCAAGGGCGGAGAGCTAACACACACACACACACACACACACACACACACCAACATTAGATAGGAAAGTACAAATCTCAAGAGGGGATGTAGTCAGCCTCATTGGTCACGTGGACACAAGCTGCACAAGCTGCACATGGGCTCAGGCAGCATATGCACCTGAAAGTTCTTTGTTTTTTAAATTGGGGGGAAGGGGGGGTTGGGACACACCTAATGATGCTCAGGTGTTACTCCTGGTGGTGTTCGAGGGACCATATGGAATGTGAGCAATTGATCCCAGGTTGGTTGCATACAAAGCAAATGCCCTACCAACTATACAATCACTTAGGTCTCTAGTGTTGAATTCTTGCCCCATACCGTTAGCTTTAAAGTCATGGAGTGTTTGGTCTATGTTCTACTTTCAGCACGCATCTCGCATCCTGAGCAAGTTCTCCAAACATCCTTTACTGGTGTTCCCTTCTCTATCTGAGCTGCCTTTTCCCCCAGCATGTGAGGCCGTCTTCCAAGCTCTGGAGCAGGCCTCCTGGTATTTATCTCTACTATTCTTGGGTGTTTGACTCCCATTCTGTTACTTTATATTCCCCAGATGAGTCCAGTCTTTCTATGTTGGTCCCACTCTTTCTGGCTCATTTCACTTAGCATGATACTTTCCATGTAGAACCACTTGTATGTAAATTTCATGACGTTGTCTTTTTAACAGCTGCGTAGTACTCCATTGTGTAGATGTACAAAAGTTTCTTTAACCAGTCATCTGTTCTCGGGCACTTGGATTTTTTCCCAGATTCTGGCTATTGTGAATAGTGCAGCAATGAAAATAGAAGTGCAGTGTCATTTCGACTATACTTTTTTGCCTCTCCGGGATATATTCCCAGGAGTGGTATTGCTGGGCCAAATGGGAGCTCATTTTCTAATTTTTTGAGAATCGTTCATACTGTTTTCCAAAAGGGCTAAAACAGTCGGCATTCCCACCAGCAGTGAAGGAGCATTCCCAAATTTCTTGCCACATCCACGCCAACAACGGTTGCTTTTGTTCTTTTGGATGTGGGCCAGTCTCTGTGGTGTGAGATGATATCTCATTGTTGTTTTGATCTTCATCTCCCTGATGGTTATTGATGTAGAGCATTTTCTCATGTGTCTTTTATCCATTTGGATTTCTTCTTTGAGAAAGTTTCTGTTCATTTCATCGCCCCATTTTTTTTGATGGGATAGGATGTTTTCTTCTAGTGAAGTTCAACCAGTACTTTGTATATCCTTGATATCAACCCCTTGTCTGATGGGTATTGGATGAACATGATGACCGCTCAAAACCTCTATTGCAAACTACAGCACCCTAAAGGAAAGAGTGAGCAAAAGGGAATGCCCTGCCACAGAGGCAGGGTGGGGTGAGGGGTATGGGATGTGGGGTTGGGAGGGCTACTAGAATCATTGGTGGTGGAAAATGGGCACTGGTGGAGGGATGGGTACTTAATCATTGTATAACTGAAACCCAAGCAGGAAAGTTTGTAAGTCTACAACTGTACCTCATGGTGTTTCACTAATAAAAAATAAAAATAAATTTAAAGATATAGATATATGGAAAAAATAAAGTCATGGAGTGTTCTCCTTGTGTTTTCCTCTAGAGCTTATGGCTTCCAGTCTAATCCCAAGGATTCTAATTTATTGACATTTGACATTTGTGCTTGATAACATCACAGATCAGCACAACAGATACAATATTGATGATTATGATAATAATCTTTGTATGTGATAGATACAAAGTGAGCATATGCGATTGAGAAACAATGCCAGACACTTCATTATTGCAGAGTTTTGGCAAACGTTTAAGTTTTTTAAAAAGAATAACTGTATAATTTGAAAGACTAGTTTTTCTTTTATGTTTGTCTCAGAAATTTTAGATACAAAGGAGTATTATAGAAATAAATCAATAACTGATTTATTTTCCCTACAGCACTCCTGTATGGTAGCATTCTCCAGAGTATTGGTGAGAAGGTGAAAATGTCATCATATAATTATGATCTGATTCTAAGATCAAGTTTCTCTGTGCCATAAGAGCCCAATTTGCAATCTGGAAACATCTGACGCTATTTAGTAAAACCTAAACTAGCCCTTTCCATGCACTTCAAGAGCACAGAACCCAGAATCACTGGAGGTTACTAAAAATTCGGATTCCCTAACTCTGCCCAAGAAACAGGGATTCAGCAGAGGGGATTCAGAAATCTGTACTTTAAAAAAAAAAAAACCTCCAAGTGATTCTATTGCAACGGACCTTCGGACACAAATGGTTCTTATGCACGACGACCCCAAGTCTAAACTTTGCCGAAAGAGAACAGAGCCCTAGCTAACTTCAGTCCCGCTCATTGAAACGCAAAACAAATCTGAACTTGGAGCTGCTAGCTCTTGGCGCCTCAGTCACGAGATTAAACAGAGCATGCGCGGTCCAGGAGTCCAGCCCGAGGGGCGGGGCTCCTTGAGGCTCCGCCCCTGGGGGCGGGGACTTCCTAATTAGAACCTAATTCCGGCCTTTCCCTTTGTTGGTCGAGAGCGCCGGCCCTCGGACCAATCAGAAGGCAGATTGCTGGGGCTCGGGGCCAATGCTCGGGGCGGTCCTTAATTTCTCTCTGCAGTTTGAAACTGTCAGCTTGCTGCTAAGGAAGCCGCAGCTCTGGCTGTTGTCCCCTCGGCGTCACGGCTAAGAGAAGCGGAGAGCGTAGTCCTGGTTTGCGGGGAGCCTGGACGGTAGGCAGGAGCGTCCTGTCGGACGCAGTGCCCGGGCCGGGGTGGCCAGTCCCCGTGTCCACCGGCTTGGGGGTGTCTTTCCCGCAGACCCGGGCCGTGCAACCCTGCAGCGGACCTGACCCGGCTAGTTTCCCTTCCCCAGTTGTCCCGGATGGGAGGACGGTGTACAGCGGTTATTGCCGCAGGTTCTGGTCATTTGAAGTGTAAGGGAGCTGGGGGGAGTCCAAGGGTCTAACGGTTTGTTGTTCTAAAAGTAAGACTTCGGTGAAGTTGGGAGGTGATGAGAGAGGACCTGTAGGTCTCTGCTCAGGCACAACTGCTTCCCCCACCCCCCACCCCCAACCCCCGCCTCTGCTTCTTGGCCGCGCTGTGGGAGGCTGAGGGCTCCAGCGTCCCTTTCCCGGCCTGCAGCTAGGACGGGCAAAGAACGCAGGGCCCGTCTACCCTGATGCCAGCTCACTTGTGCCATCACTATTGCTCCGACTCCAGGGGGAGGCTTGAATTTCCAAACTCCTCTTTCCCTGCCAGCCAGGTATCCACCAAGAAGTGATTTGCTCCCTCTGGCAATAGCGGGAGTGGGGGGAGGAGAGGTGGGGGAGGGGAACCATTTGTCTTGAGCTGAAGTACATCTCCCTGCCATTAAAGCAAGCCACGTTCTCCTGTTTCTGAACTAGAGAGAGTGAGAAAAAAAAAATTCCACTGCAGGTAGTTCTAAGCTGTCGTACCTTGTTGGTATCAGAGCAGAACAGATGGAAGATTTAGAAAATATTTATATTTCCAAAAAATACAATGATTGTTCTTTATCCCAAAGTACAATAATTGCATCAGAAACTCGCTTTGAGGTGTGTGGATAATTTTCCCAGCCCATTTGTTTTACTTGGTAGCACCACCACACGCTACTCTTCCCAACTGTGCCCTCTTCTGACACGTCCTAAAAAAGGAAGACTTGAATGAAAACAGAAATGGACCAAGTTGCCCTGGGGTGAATTTGAAGTCCCCGAAGGAGTTGTCCCTTCCCAATGAGGCCTGTGTTTATTTTATCCCCCACTAAGTGGCTTAACTGAAGATAGTCTGAAATATAGTGTACGTACAATGTGCTACACAGTCTTGCTAAGTAAAGTTGAAATATGCTTTCCACAGTTTAGCTCCAGTATTCATTCATAAAACTCACCTTTCCCTACCCCCTTCCACTTCAGTTTTCTCATCTTTTTCAACCCACCATGATTAACACCTGTTCCCCTTCCCATTGAAGTTTTCAAGCAAACATTGCAGGCAGTTTCCTGATCCTTAGATTCTGAGCATTTTAATTGAATACGTATCTTTCTTTGGCATCTGACTACTCCATTCTTGGAGTACAGACATGAAGTTTCAGTCATGTGCCCATTCTGCTATCCTGACTTCCTTTTCTTTGCTGACTCTTCTCTTCCCCGTTAAATGGTCACTGTCACTGTCCTCCCATTGTTCATTGATTTGCTCGAGCGGGCCCAGTAACGTCTCCATTGGAGACTTTGTTGTTACTGTGTTTGGCATATCAAATACATCACGGGTAGCTTGCCAGGCTCTTCCCTGCGTGCGAGATACTCTCGGTAGCTTGCCCAGCTCTCCGAGAGGGGCAGAGGAATCGAACTGGGTGGGCCATGTTGGCTGCGTGCAAGGCAAACGCCCTACAGCTGTGCTATCGCTCCAGCCCTGTTAAATGGTAGTGGTGCTAATTTTAACTTTCTCACTACCAAAGTCCTCAGTTTTGTTGGTGTTATATCCCCTTCTTAGTATTGGAAGCTAAGGGTCTCTTCCTAGAAACATGATCAGGTGTACTAAGATAACACCTACTGTTTTGGGGGTGTGTCCTTCACCGTAAGAGCTCTTTCTCACATACCAGTTTATGGGTGATGTGATCCTCTTCCCCCTTTTTAGTTCTCGTAACACTGATGCTTCCTCAAACTGCATCTCCAATCTGTACCTCCAGCGCAGAGCTTCCACATTGCTTAGCTTCAGGAAGTATCACGTACAGTGACAATATTGTGAGTGGCAGTTGGAGGTGTATGCTGCATAACAGTTGTGACCTAAGACCACACACTGCAGCTTTGCTGCTACAGCTTTTTTTGTCCTTCCTCCCATCTTGCTCATATTCCTCTAGTCTCCACCTTGCTGAGTGGCACTGATGCATCTGTTTACCCAAGCTAGAACTCAGAAGACCATCCAGGCTCCTCCCTTTACCCAGTTGTTGACCCTGGTCTCTTATTTCCCTCTGCCTTAACAGACTCATCTCATGGTCATAGCCTCTGGCCACTTCCATTGCTGCTTCCTACCTCTGGAATCCCCTGTATCTTTTGGGTAGTGCCCAGAGGGACGTTTCCTTTAGACCAGTGCAGTCTGTTCTCAGCTGAATCCTACCTCCCCCAGTTTGTCGTTCTGTTATTGTTGTTTTGGACTACCTCCAGCAGTGCTCAGAGTTTACCCCTGGCTCTGTACTCAGGGATCACTTCTGGTGTTGCTGAGAGCATTTGTTTGGTGGCCGGTGGCCGGATATTGAGTCTGGGCCCACCACACGCAGAGCAAGCACCATACATCATGCTAGCTCACTGTCCTTCCCTATCTAGCTTAAAAGCTGCTGGAGGATCTTTCTAAGAAAGAGCCCTAATTGTGTCATCACTTATTTAAAATATTACTTTGCAAACTTTACAATTTTGCAGTAAAGATCAAACTTTTTGACATGATGCAATCATGATCTTCCATGAGCTGGCTTCTCCATGAGCCTGTTTCATCCTCAGCCTTGCTTCCGTTTGCTTCAGCCTTAAAAATTAATTGCTTTTTCTGACCTATATGTCCAGCCTCTCGATCTTTTCTTTATGCTGTTTTGCTGCCTTGCGTATATGTATATCTTTTAGCATCACATCTCAACTCCTGGGTCACATTCACTGTTTGAAACTTTCTCTGGGTGCCCCATTTTAGCCCCACAGTTGCCCCCCCTGAAAAATGGTTACTCCCATCCCTCTGCTTTCAACTTCTGTTGTTTTAAAATCTTAGATTTTTTTCCATCCGTGAGTTTTATATATGTCTCAGCCACTCCACTGATGACTGTTAAAGCCCTTGAGTGTGAAGGTTTTTTCATTTTTTATTCCTCACCACTGACCAATGTATTACATATAACCAGGGTTCCAATCATTAGAATAGTCACTATTTGCTTTTCAAGTAATTTGTTACTATATGTACTTTTGCTATTATTATTATTATTATTATTATCATAGAAGCCACATCCCTCTGTACTCAGGGTTTACTCCTGGCTCTGCCCAAGGATCAATCCTGGCAGGGCTCGGGGCACTGTATGGGGTACTGGGGGGGATTGAACCGGGGTCAGCTGCTTACAAAGCAAGTGCCTTAACCTCCATACAATCACTCTGACCTCTACTTTTGTTATTTTTATTTTACTTTTCCATAAAGATTTTCACCAAGTTTTCTCTGCATGTACTAGCCTCTGTTCTACAGAGGCTTGCTTTTCTTAACATAATATTCCCAAAGGTAAGTTTTTCAAGCATGTGTGCTAATTGGTAATTCCCTTGTGGTTCAGAATCTTACAGACCTCCCAGCTGTCACAGCTTGTTCACAAGTCAGTGTCACTGGATATTATTCTTGCCGAGCACCACTGTAGATTTGTCTGAGGATCTTCCATTTTCTCACTAACCTTTCATGTACCTTTCTCATCACCTTGGTGCGTTATAAGAATTAGAATCTATTTTTGCTGGCCCCAAAGATTTTGTCTATGGATGAGCCAGATGTTGAAAGATTTCTGCATATCACACAAAAATTATTTCAGACTAGGATGTCACTGCACTTAATATCTAGAACAACATTCATGTGCATATGAAGGGTGGGAAACTAAAGTTAGCTTCTGTTTCGTAGCATTTGCACAAAATGTCATCAGATGAGGAGAAATGCTCATTTCCAGTTATGCAAAGCAGTTCTGACAGTTCCGTCTCTTCAGATCTTCAGGTAGGCTAAGTCTAAATTTGCTACTTTTTTTATCTTAAACCTGTGATAAGATGAGGCAAAAACTAGGAATACAGTTTTCATTTGCTCATGTCGTTTCCAAAAGAGTTGTTTAAAGTATAATATCAAACTTTGGGGATTATTTCACAAACTTTGAATACCTTTCCTTGCTTTAACCTTTCAGAAAACAGTCAGCTCTTGAAATAGTCTTTGTACAAAGTCTTTCAACAACAGGATGCCTCAAGAAACATTTAATCCCTTAAATTGTTCTCTGTTGTACGTCTCATGAATGCTGCTTTCGCCTTTAATGCAAATTGAGGCAATATCAAGCCATCCAAAGTTCTGGGCCCTCACTTCCATAGTGCTCTATTCTAGGTCCTGTTTCCACTGCGTGGTGTATTCTTCTGCCCCAAACCTGAACAGTGATTACTAAGATGTGATTTTGGGTAGGACAAACTTTGACTTTTAATTTATATTTCATCAAAAATAGAGACTTAGCATTCCAGAGTAGATCTTAAATGGGGGAATACTAACATGGTATCTCTTTTCCTTTTTTTAAATCCTCTCTGAGATTGAGTCTCAGCCAGCTGAGCCAGCAGTTTAATGCTGGAGCCCAGGGCTGCCACTTGGCCCTGTAGAGCTAAAGATGACTGGGGCCACACCCAGTGGTGCACAAGGGCTTTCAGGGCTGCATCTGGCCATGGTCATGGCACCAGGTAGTGTCAGGGATCAAACCAGCGTCAGCCATATGCAAGGCAAGCACCTTAACCTCTGTCCTGTCTCTCCAGGCCAAGCATGATTTATCTTAAGTTTTATAGTTCTGTCACCCACAAAGAGGAAATCTAGACCTGACATTGATTTCTAAGTCAGGCGGATTATTATCAGCACAAATAGATGTTGTGCTGTAGGGGGAAAAAAATTATATTTGATATCTTCATTTTTTTATATGTTTATTTCCTCTCTAATTTTTTTTATTTTATTTTTTACAAAGCTGTTTATGGTTGGGTTTTGGTCGTACAATGTTCCAATATCCATCCCTTCACCCGTGTCATTTCCCAGCATCAATGTCCCCAGTTTCCCTCTCACCCTTCCAAGACACACCCCCGCCTCCCTGCTGTGGCAGGCACATCTCTCTTTCTCCTTCTCTCTCATTTTACGCATTATGGTTTGCAATACAGATGCTGAAAGGTTGTCATGTATATCTCTTTACCTACTTACAACACTCAGTTCTTGTCCGGAGTGATCTCCATCTAATGTTGTCATAATAGACCCTCCTCTTCTTTAAGTAATTTCCAATCATTGACCAGTCCTCCTGACCCATTTTCCCTGACCTTGGATATTAGTTTCATACTGGGGTTTTTTTTTCTTTTTTATTTTTTTTTCTTTCATATCTGTCTGATCCTCTCCTTCTGACTCTTTTATTCAGCATGATACTCTCCAGGTCCATCCATTTATAGGCAAGTTTCATGACCTCATTTTTCCTAACAGCTATGTAGTAAGGAAACTATTTTTTGAAATATATTCTTTTCATTGAAGTACAGATGATAAATTGGGAAGGTATTGGAAAAGGGTCTGTTTGTCTAGGATAAAAGCCTCCTGGAGTTGTGACATAGATTTCCACTTTTGCCTTCGCTTCAGATGGTGCCGTATCTCCCCACATGCTTTTGTTAGGTGATGCTGCTCTTTTGGTATTCTTCATCTCAGCTTTGCCCAATTTCCTTTTGAAGAGAATTATGATGAACTCATTTTTACTAAAGTGTAAATGCCTGTGGACTGGAATGATGTGCAGGGTTTATGGTGCTACCCATTCATGCAGCCAGCCACCACAGACGGAGCAACACCAACTGTGACTCACAGTTTCTTTGTGTATATGTGTGTCTGTGTGTGCGCGCGAGTGCACCTTGTAAAGTCTCAGATTGTCCTTTTGTCAGGAAACCTAGCTTTGAAACAAAAGAATAAGTCAGTAGAATTTACGAAAAGGAAAGGAAAGGAAAGAAACTTTTAGGCATGCCAGAAATTATTTTGTATTATTGATTACCCAACTGAGATGCTTTTCATTAGCAGTTCTGAACTTCTGGCATCACTGGTTCTCAAAGCCCACCCTTAAAATAAGTTAAAATTTATATGCACCGAAATACTATTATGCCAACTTCCCACCCCCTTTGAGTCATGATTGAGGGAATTTTGAAATACTCGTTTGAATCTATTGGCGAGTTAAACCTAGGGGCTTCCATCTCCCATCCTTCCTATAGGCAGGGTGGTATTTAGAGCTGACCAGTATTGAGTTGGCAGGATCTTATCTTTGCTGCTCCAGAAAAGAGACTCTAAAAAAATTAGCTGACGTGTGTGTGTGTGTGTGTGTGTGTGTGTGTATTAGCGTGTGTGTATTAACCAATATTTGCATGCTTGTGCTCTGTAGCAAAATACCATAAATGTAGAGGCTTAAAGCATCAGAAAATAATTATTTTACATTCTGGATGCTGTTACTACCAAATCCAGGTCTAATTGGGTTGTTTTCATACTTGTTTTTGTTTTGCAGCCACACCCAACTATGTTGAAGGCCTGGCTCTTTAGAGCTCAGGGATTTTTCTCTTTTAGGGAGTGTCAGTTACATGAGTGCTTCATCAGACTGCTACAAATGCCAGGAGACAGGAACTTCTAGAACTCCTTGTCACAATTATCGTCCTCTGGGCAAAACTCCAAGCAGAGATCAGCCAGTCTTTAGAACCTCACCTGGCAGATTCACCAGGAGTGCCTGGTGTGTGAGGGAGACCATATGGGGTGCCAGCATCGAACTGGGTGCATGTAAGGCAAGTGCCCTACCCACTGTATGATCTCTCCAGCCCTGCCAGATTAGTTTGTGGTGAGGTCTCCCTTTCTGGCTATGAGATGCTGCCTTCTTACATGGGCTTTCCTGGGGCAAGAGAAGGCTGGGGGAAAGAGTGCCCTCCATCTTGGGACACTACTCCTCTCTGCTCCTACCTGACCCTGTGACTTCACTTAACCTTCCTGTTTTTCCTTAGGGATCCCATCTCCAAATTGTACTAACACTGGGGGTTAGGATTTCAGCATATGGCTGTTGGGGGAATTTATAAGCTGTTGTTTTGAATGTTTGAATGCTTTAACAAGAACCAAATTAATGGAGGGGGGGATGCAGGGATGCAGTAAGTGAAAGACTTATAAAGACTTATAGTTTGATTCTCTCTCATAAAACCTGAACTATATAGTCCTGATATCAGGTTAGGACCAGGCTCTTCTCAAAAGAAGTTCCTGTCCCACACGGCAAAAAGAAGGATTTTTTTTAAAGAATTAAAAAAAAATTAAACAATTTTAAAATTGTGGCCTGTTAAAATTGAATATATATAATACATCTGTGAATTCATTTTTCTTTTATTATGGATTTATTTTAAAAGTTAAGTATCAAAGAAAGAAGGGCCAACAGTATAGCTCAGTAGGTAGAGCACAGGTTTCAACTGGGCAAGACATGGGGTTTAATCCCTAAATCACATTGGAGTGGGGATGGGATGTCAGATTTTAAAGAAATAATTGAATAAATTTTTAAGCAAAGACATTTGAATCAAACATTATGTATTCCCTGAAATACCTTCGTAAAGCATTTCCTAGTGAAATCCTTGAGTACTGACTGCTGATACCATTCATTTCACAAGGGAGCGCTGACTTCATATCTTTCTTATCACATTTGTTTCTGCAAGAAATAGACAGTATTGATTTCAGTAAGCTCACTGTCATGACTGGAACTTTGTTGTGACATGAATGTCCTTATTCTTCTTGGCCTGCCTTTTCAAATCTCGTTTTGCTTTGCTGTGTACTGTGATGTTGCCACTGGGCAGAAAAATGCATTTGTGTTCCTTTTTGATGTCCATATTCTTTCCCAAAGATTCTTCTCTTTGCATGCTGATGTATGAAAAGAAACTCAGAGTTATTGTGGGGTTCATAGGGGTAGAGCATGGCCATAGCCAAAATGACTTTACTACCAGGCTTCTTTGTTGTGGTGGAGCCTTTGAAGCAGTATTTTTTTATTTTCTTTTATTTTTAAAAGCTGTTCACAATAATTTGTTACATTTAATATTCCAACACCAATCCCACCACCATTATACCTACCCACCACCATATTTAGAATGTTTTCGGTCCAACCCTCAAACCCTGCCCCCAAAGCGGACCTAAATAATTTATTTTGTAAAGATTGTCATGAATAATCTGCCAAGAATGATCAAAAAAAGTTTTCCTCGGGGAAAGTGTGTGAAGATTGTTGTTTCTCACCCTGGAGCCAGTAAGCCCTTGTATGAGAGATTACCAACATATAAAATGTTGCACAGCTGCATTAGACGTAAATTTCAAGAAAGGAGAAGTGGGGTACGGCCAGCTGCTCTCTCCCACCTGTATGTAGGCAGTCACCTGTCAAGGGAAGATACTTCCTGTTGGAGCTGTTGGTCGGCTTCTGGGAACTAACTACATCACTTCAGTGTCATTGTCATCACCTTTCTTAAGGCCTTGCCAAAGAAATCTGGCACAAAGGCACTGTCACTGGAAGGAAAAAGGTGAGGTAGACTTGGATTTTTGTGGTCTTTAAGAATTTTACTTACAGGTCTGGGGAGAAAGCTCAGGGCTCAAGGAGCACGACCACTAGTTGAATTCCTGGTAGTATATGCTCATTTTCACCCTGCAGCACTGCTGGGGTGACCCTGATGATCTCCAGCACCATAACAGCCAAGCATTGAATCACTTGGCTTAGTTTATCAGGAACAATAGGAGGTGACCCCTCCAAACCCCTAAGCCCTGCTTGGGAGGCCCACACACCCAAGTGAATCTTACTGCCTACAGTAGAATCACTTGGCTTGGTTTGTCAGGAACATTCGGAGGTGAGCCCCAAGCCCCAAAACCCTGCTTAGGTATCTCACTTCCCTCAGAGAATCTTACTGTCTCAGTAGGTGAATGCTCATGAATGAAATACAGGAGCTGGAAGTATTCTTTTCCACATCAGAATATTGTTACGAAAACTGGAGCAGAGAACATCTCTGACTGTGCCTTTATTGTTCTTTTGCCTGAGTGTCCATATTGACAAGATTTTAATGCATTATTGATTATTGACCTTTCCTAGGAAGAATATGAAGAGTTGCTTCGCTACGCTATAGTGACTCAAAATATTGAATCAAATGCTTCACATCAAGTACCATCTTATGCTAAGGGAGATGCAATGCCGGACGTTCGAATTCCTATCCTAATCGATGACGTTCTTCATAATCAAGGTGATGTATATCTCCCAATCTGTCTTAATTTGTTGCCAAGTTTATTTTTTGTATCATCAGCTATTTTTACTGAGGTGTCTTGGTTGGCAGCCATTTCCATGTGATGATTTTATACTTGCAGTGCTACTGCACCAGGTCCACCTCTAGAGTGTCAGTGACCACCACAGTCCCCAGGTCCCTTCTCTTTTCCCTCACATGAGCTCTCTGCAGCCTCAGTCCACTGTTTTCTCTGCAGTGTCTCAGGCTGCTCACCACTGGGGATTATCTGTCTCCTTGCTTTGTTTCTTTATATGTCACTTATAAGCAAGATCATCTTGTCTATGTCTGTTTCCTTCTGATGCACTTCACTTAGGTCAGCACCCCTTAGCCCCATCCAAGTTACAGCAACTACAAGATTTCATTCTTTGTGATAATTCGATAAGATTTCATTATACACATTACAATTTTTTTCATGCATATTGAGTTTATTCATGATAACATGATGATGAAATGCTTTTCCGGTGACTCTCTTTAATCAGTGCTGTGTCTGGGGTAATAGACACAGTCTTACACAGTCTTACATAGGCCCGCACTCTACAACTAAGCTGGACCCTAGGTCCTTGAAGGAACATTTTACATCTCAATATGAAATTCTTGGTTCTAGTGTTTGACACCTAGATTTTTGTTTATCTGACCTTTATTTTTATAAAATTAATGAAGCAAAACTCTAGTAATTTACCTTTCTTAGAGTATGTTACATCTCCTTACTTGTTCTAATGCTCGTATGCCAGGATGGTCTTGGAAATTAAATACTTAATTATACTTGGTTGACAGGAATTCCCAGAACCTGTTAGGTTTATGAGCCATCATATTTATGTTTTCTCACCAATATTTATATGGGGAATGAAAATATTAGGAAAATCACCACAAAAATGGGCCCATTTTTGAACTATGTCAAGTGACAGATGAAAGCCCATACAAACCAGATTATATGATGATAGATAAGTGAAAGATGAAGAAAGGGAAATAAAACTCCTTGTATCTGCCCTTACCTAATTCTGTAAATTACACAGTCCCAGGGCTGGAGCAATAAGGTGTTTGCCTTGCACAAGGCCAACCCAGGTTCCATTCTTCCGCCCCTCTCAGAGAGCCGGGCAAGCTACTGAGAGTATTCCGCCTGCGCGGCAAAGCCTGGCAATCTACTTGTGACATATTTGATATGCCAAAAACATTAACAGCAAATCTCACAATTTGTTGTGAGATGTTACTGGTGCCCGCTCGAGCAAAACTGATGAGCAACGGAGGATAGTGCTGCAGTGCTACACAGTCCCAAACAGCTCACTCTAAGTGTTCTGTAAAGGATGCAAAAAAAACCCTGAAACAGCGCTGGTAGTAGAGAGAATTACCTGTCGGCTTCTGTGTTACTTTCCCATTTGATTTGATGTGCTCCTATGGGAATTTCAGTATTAAGGAATTAGGAAGTGACACATTGTCCAGGGACTTCAGGATCTATGGACTGGGCCAATGAGTTGACATGGTAGTAAATATGGGAGGTGGGTGTGGCTATAGGGGCTTCTGGAAATATGAGTGGTGGCAGGAGGCTGCCACCCCAACTCCAAGAAGACAGCAGAGTTCTCAGCTAGGCTTCCTGAAATGATTTGCAGTTTGGCATCTCTCTGCAGAGAATATTAGTGAAGTGGTGGAGTTGAGCCCTTGGCGTGACTGCAGTGGAGGTTTGTGGCTGCGGCTGCTGGGCTCTGGTAGGACTGGGACTCAGTGCGCCTGCCACCTTTCCCTCCAGTTTTCATTGCTCTCCTCCTTCACCCAGTTGTATTGGATCAACATATAGGGCCACTGAAACATACAGTATTTTCTTCCTGAATTTTCTTGATGTTCAGGAGATAAGACATATTTCTTCCTTCTACATCAGTGATCTTGACCATGTTCAGGTGACATAGGATTCCTTAGATGTTCTTGCCAAGCAAACCAGAAGTGCTTTGTACACCTCTGTCGGTATAAACAGGAGCATGCTAGCCTCTGGCGCCTCTACCCAACCAGCTACCAAAAGCTTGTTTCCTTTTTCACTGGAAACAATAATACTGCACCACCACTCCCAGTAACACACTGGAGTCCTCTCTTTGCCCCAACTCTGCAGTCTTCTTGAGGTAATCATTTAGGATCTAAGAATTCTGCTGTTTTCTTCCTCTCACATGTAAGATGGTATTTATTTCAGTTTTGTCTTTCCCCAAAAGGAATTGAGATCTAAACTTGCCTCATATTTGGGTATCCTGGGTCCCACATAGACTTGGTTGGAGTTGGCTGTGCAGAGCTTATCATCATAGCTTTTATTATAATTTTTAAAAAATTTTATATTAGGAACCACTGTATCACTGTCATTCTGTTGTTCATAGATTTCCTTGAGCAGGCACCAGTAATGTCTCCTTTGTCCTAGCCCTGAGATTTTAGAAAGTGCCACATTCAAGGCTCTTTCAGGGTCAGGGGAATGAGACCCATCATTGTTACTGGGTTTTGGCATATCGAATATGCCATGGGGACTTTGCCAGACTCTGCCATTCAGGCAGGATACTCTCAGTAGCCTGCCGGGTTCTCCAAGAGTAAGAGCTAGATAATAAGAGGTCACACGGTCGTGCGCTTCCGGGAACTGGGTTTTATAGTCTCTGGGTCTTGGCCGTTGATGGGATAGCATGGTGCTGGGGGCAGTTGGTGGGTGTAATGCCTATCTACTGGAAGATGGGTGATCTGGGTGGAAGAGGCCCAGTCCTGATCCGAGCAGGCTTGGAGATCTCAGTCCCGCATGCCTGGGTTCCTCTGCTGGTTCCTTCATGCGTGAGGCTCATCCGAACGTGTAGAGAGTGGTCTTAAGCATGGCTGTGTCTGGTTCCAGAGGTCTTCAGCTGCTGGGGTTCTGCTCCGCACCATGCTTTACAATATTGATAACGGCAGAGTTTAATACAAAAAAAAAAATTCCAACACTGCACCCACCAAATGTTCCCTGTGCCCTTCCCCTCCATCCAGCCCCCGCAGCCCCCCTACAGTGATGCGATTCCAATTAAAGACCAATTCTCAGTTTCTGTTGCCTTTGAGTATTTTTTTTTCCTATATTACTTCTTATAGTACACAGGGAGATATCAGTCTGTGTCTGTCCCTCTCTTAACTAACTTTACTCAGCAGCGTCTTCATAACTCTTTTGTGTTGTTGCTGTTTGGTAGAAGTAGGATGCATTGAAGTGGGCAAAGACTCTTATAGAAGCCTCTGATATATCCATTCGTGTGAAGTTTTCCTTATATATTAGCTAAGGAGCCCGAGGTTAAAGGTATCTCTGGGGAGAACCAGTCTCTCAGACTGTTAATAATTTAATTTGACTGAAACTTGTAGATACAACAGGTTCTAGAAATATCCAATGTAGCAAGCTAGGCTAGATTTTTTTTTTAAGTTTCTAATGTCATCTGTCTACTTTTCTTGAGAGTGAATTAAATTTTTTTCTCTGATTTACCTTTCCTTTATAGTGGGTGGGTCAAATTGAGCTTATAATGATATTTTTAATCTTTTCTAGTCTCACATTCTTTTCTAGTGATCTCGTTTTCCCTGCATGTTGTAGTGTGCTTGTTCTAAAATACTGTGTCCTGATCTTCTTAAATTTAGTCTGTATAGTTAGGAATTTTATTAGTCATTTGTTTCAATGATTTAAAAACTCTGTTTCAGCAGGAAGTGCCCCTGCAGTAAGAGAACCAAGATCTGAAGTTGGAAAAGGATGTGATTTAAATACCTCAATTCTTTCAAAGACAGATGGTATGACTTTTCATAACATGTTTTTATTATTAAATAACATCTTGTGGTTTCACGAGTATTTATTCATTCATCAGGAGAAATAATTTTTAGGAGTCATTATTTATGGGCAGGATTTTTAAATGCTGTTGTTAATTTATTAAGTAATATTATTAAAAATAACTTCCTAAGATTCCTAAATATTTAACTTGTTAGATTGTCTAAGGTAAAGGCAAAGGCCCTCCCGTTGTTCATCGATTTGCTCAAGCGGGCCCAGTAATATCTCCATTGGAGACTTTGTTGTTACTGTGTCTGGCATATCGAATACGTCACGGGGAGCTTGCCAGGCTCTGCCGTGCGGGCGAGATACTCTTGGTAGCTTGCCGGGCTCTCTGAGAGGGGCGGAGGAATCGAACTCGGGTCGGCCATGTTGGCTGCGTGCAAGGCAAATGCCCTACCGCTGTGCTATCGCTCCAGCCCTCCAGTTAGATTGTCTATCAAATTTAAATATTTAAATTTAAATATTTAATTTAAATATTGGTTTATTATCTAAGCATTGAAGAGCCTTTCAGTCTCATATTAGAACCCCCAAAGAAAATGAGATGCATGAGAAATGGACATAAATAATGTGTGATTCCAGTACACATGTCACTGTCACTGTCACTGTCCTCCCGTTGTTCATCGATTTGCTCGAGCAGGCCCAGTAATGTCTCCATTTTTTTGAGACTTGTTACTGTGTTTGGCATATTGAATACATCGTTGGTAGCTTGCCAGGCTTTGCTGCGCAGGCAAGATACTCTTGGTAGCTTTCTGGGCTCTCTGAGAGGGGTGGAGGAATCGAACCCAGCTTGGCCAGGCTGTCTGCGTGCAAGGCAAACACCCTACTGTTGTGCTATTGCTCCAGCCCAGTACACATGTATGATAAAATATTTTTATTTTGTTTCTTTTATTTTTATTCATTTATTTATTTTTGGTTTCTGGATCAAACCAAATGGTGCTCAGAGATTACTCTTCGCTTTGTGCTCAGGTATCATTCCTGGTGGGTCTCTGGGGATCTCTGGATGCCAGAGTTCAAACCCAGGTCGAATACTGCAAGCAAGACAAATGCTCTGCATGCTGTACTATCACTCCAGCCCCTATTTGCTTTTAAATAATGACAACCAGTTCTCTTTTGTAGCCCTTAGTTTCCTCATCAGCAAAATTGGAGCATATTTAGTAAATATTAATACTATGGAGTAGCCATACTACTTTTACTTCCAGCTAAACCCAGATATTCAGAAAACCCGTCTTCAGACACAAGTTCTTGGGGACAGGGAGGGCCTGTGAAGAAGGCATCACAGCTGCTCAGTCTAAATCAAATATAGGAGTGAAAGGAAAAATTGCTATACTTGGTGCACTGGTGGGCACTGCGCTCTTTCCCTCAGCTAGCTCTTTCCCTGTGGAAGCTAGCCCACACTTAGCCTTCAATACGCCTTCTTAGTAGCTAACTTTTTTTCTGTTTGGCCTGACCACCACCACTTTTCCTTACTTTTAGGGGCATCGCCACTGTCTTCACCAAGGAAACCTTCTCATCCAGTGATGGATTTTTTTAGTTCAAATATTTTAGGTGACTCTTCCTCCCCAGGATCTAATTCTACCCATCCAGATGTCCAGCAAGCCAACAATTTTGTGGTTTCTCCTGAAAGCCTCCAGAAGGTGGAAAACATCCTTGATCTTTGGAGCTCGGGGATTAAGGTATTATGGTTGGTGAATACCATGTTGTATTAGAGTTTTGCTTTTGATGCCACTGTGAATTCTTATTTATTATCTATCTATTTATGTTTGGTTTGGGGGCCACACTCAGCGATGCCCAGGGGTTATTCCTGGCAGGGCTTGGAGGATCATTCAAGACCAGGGACTGAATCTGGGTTGGCAATATGCAAGGCAAACACCCTACCTGCTGTACTATCACTCCCAAGTAATTCTTTTATTAAATCAAAAGATTTCTTAAAATAGTTTCCCCAGAACATCAGTGCAGGAGCTCAGATCTGTATGTCTTGATCTTGATTGTGGAAACCAGGGAAGTTGCTGCTGGTTTAATATGGTTTATGCTCTTCGTATCAATCTAAGTAACTTGTAATCCTGTGCCTCAGCCTCGTCCGGCCTTGGTCTTTTCCCTGTTTAATCTTATAATGGATATTTCTTCAGTCTTTGGAAAAGCAAAGGAGCTTTGTTTTTCAGTGAATGTAATTTGAAATTGTCTTTTAAATGACAATATTTCATACAAAGTAACATCAATATTAAATTTCTGGGGCGAGAGAGTACAGAAGGTACAGAAGCCTGCCTTGCATATAGTCAACCTGGGTTCAATGCCCAGAACCCAATATGGCCACCAGGAGTGATCCCTGAGTGCAGAGCCAGGAGTAAACTCTGATCACTAATAGTTGTGACACAGAAACATTACCCCATCCCCCAAAAATCTTAAATTCCTTATGATAGTGAATATGAATTAAGAAAAGCCAGGACTATCAGCCTGTCACACATTTTCATTAGTGTGATCTGATTTGATATGCCAAAAACAGTAAATACAATGGGTCTCATTCCCCTGACCTTGAAAGAGCCACCAATATGGCAGCGTTAAGAAGGATGAGGAAGGAGAGGCTGATAAAATCTCAAGGTCGAACTACACTGCCAAAACAAAGGACTAAAATGACTGTACTTTCAATGCACATACGCTGGCATCAGATGCTTCCATCAAGGACCTGATGGTACAAGCACGAAAGATCAAGTGTGATATCATTGGTCTGACCAAGACAAGAAGGCATCAACCACATCACACCATTTTTGACACTGGAGAAGAACTGTTCCTCAAAAAATGCAACAAAAGAGGCGTTGGCGATGTCAGTGTCCTTGTCAACATGAACTTGGCCATGAGCATTGATTCATTCGAATGCCTAACAACCCAAATCAGATGATTACACTTGAAGAGATGTGGCTCACTGCCGGCAATTTCTGTCTTTATTGTCTACACACCAACATCCAGTTACGATGAAGGAGAAATTGAGAAGTTCTACATGGAGCTGGAGAAGTTCTATAAAGAAGACCACACCTTCTACAAGATCATTGTCGGTGATTTTAATGCCAAGATAGGACTGAGAAGATCAGCCGAAGAACCCCACATCAGGACCCATGGCCTGGAATGGAATGAACAGGGTGAAAGACTGTCTGAGTTCATCATGTCGACCAAGACCATCCATGGTATCTCACAGTTCCAGAAGGCCGAATCTAAATGTTGGACATGGGAGTCTCCCAGTGGACGGTTCCACAGCAAAATTGACCACATCATATTCAATTGACAGTTTTGCCTGACTGATGTCGCTGTTGTCCCAAAATTCAAAACGGGATCAGACCACTGTCTTCTTTGTGCAAAATTCTACTTCACAGAGTGGGGAGAAAGGGCTGCAAAGTTTAAAAAGAGAACTCCCAGAACAACCACCAACTGGGAGCTCTTTGGCACTATTGCAGCAACATGGGAAGATGCTGTCGTTGACAACATTGACGAAGAATAGAATAAACTGGTTCAGCATCTTCATGATTGTGCGAGGAACACTGAGAGAGAGATAGCCACAAAAAGACGCCTCTCTTCAAAAACTTGAGCTCATTCACCAACATGGCTTGGCGCGAGCCTCAGGCAACCACAAGTAAACATCCGAGCTCGCAAAGCAGTGCAGAGAAGCTATAAAGGAAGACCTGAAAGAGAGAAGAGCAGCAGTGCTGGCCAATGCGGGAGAAGCCAGAAAAAGCATTTGCCAATGCCCACCTGTCCTTCACCAACCACAAGACCAAGATAACATCCTGATGGATGACCCGACGTCCTGATGACTTCTGCTTGGACCTCTTCAATAGCCACGTCCACCTGCCCACATACCAAAGTCCGCAGAATGGATATTTTGTTCCCAATGTTCTCTCTTCCAAAATCTGACACGCCATTTCGTCATAAAGAAGTGAATAGCACTCAGCCCAGACAACCTGAAGAACCTGCCATCAGTACTCATCAATACCCTGGCTCAGCTCTTCACACGCTACTTGTCTGAATGCAAGGTCCATCCCAGTGGAAAACCAGCAGGACTGTTATACTGTACAAGAAGGGAGACATCCACGAATTGGCAACTATCGCCCGATCTGCCTGTTGTCTGTTGTCTACAAGCTGTTCACTTGAGTCATCCTGAATAGGATTGGCAGAACACTGAATGAAGGACAACCATGCGAGCAAGCCAGTTTCCGAAAAGAATTCAGGACAATTGACTATATTCACACAATAACCAAGCTCATTGAGGTTTCTCGGGAGTTCAAGATGCTGCTCTGCCTAACGTTCATTGATTTAAAGAAGGCCTTTGATTCTGTTGAGACTAAAGCACTCATCGAAGCCCTAGCCAAACAGGTCGTTCAAACTCAGTACTTTAGGATCCTCCATGAGCTGTATTATGGATTCACTACCAGGGCTGGAGTGATAGCACAGCAGTAGGGCGTTCGCCTTACAAGCGGCCAACATGGCTGACCCGAGTTCGATTCCTCCACCCCTCTCGGAGAGCCCGGCAAGCTACTGAGAGTATCTCGCCCGCACAGCAGAGCCTGGCATGCTCCCCATGACGTATTCGATATGCCAGACACAGTAACAACAAAGTCTCCAATGGAGACGTTACTGGGCCCGCTCGAGCAAATCGACGATCAACGGGAGGGCCTTTACCTTTACCTTTTACCAGGATCTCACCAATCTATAATGAAGTGATCATCGATGTCAAGAGAGGGGTTTGGCAGGGTGATGCCATTTCACCGAAACTCTTCAGTGCCACCCTTGAGAACATCATGCGACGACTGGAATGGAAAGGAATGGGAATGAAGATAGATGGCTGGCAACTACACCACCTCTGCTTTGCTGATGACATCGTTCTAATAACACCAAACATTAGCCAAGTGACACAAATGCTGGCCAACTTCAACCATGAATGTGGAAAAGTCGGATTGCAGCTGAATCTCAAAAAGACAATGTTTATGAGAAACGGACTCATTCCTGATGTTCTATTTGCTCTCAACGGAACGAACATCTCCGAATGCAACAGTTATGTGTATCTAGGTCAAGAACTCAATATGATGAATGACCTGGCATGTGAGTTGCGCAGGAGGAAGAGAGCAGCTTGGAATGCCTTCAAGAACATCAAAGAAATAGAATGAAGAACCTCCGGCTCTGGGCACATCTCTTCGATTCCATCGTTCTTCCTTCATTAATATACACCTCAGAGACCTGGGCCCTACGAAAACAGGATGAGAATGCTGTTCGGGTCTCCCAAAGAGGAATCAAAAGAGCTATGCTTGGAGTATCACGCTTCACTCAAGTGAGAGGAAGAATCCGGAGTTCCAAGCTCTGTCAATGATCAAGAATCAGGGACGCTGTCTCCTTTGCCAAGGCATTGAAAATCAGATGGGCTGGACACATAATGCGATTTGGAGACGACCACTGGACTAGATCTGTTGCCGACTGGATTCCACAGGACGTCAAAAGATCGCATGGCTGCCCACCTATGAGATGGTCAGACTTCTTCATCAAGACTCTGAACGATCGGTTTGAGGCTCTTGGTGTTCCTGGAGCGAGCAGACACCATTAGGCTACACTAGCACAGGACAGGGGTAAATGGAGATGTTACTGGCACCCGCTGGAGCAAATCGATGAGTAATAGGATGTCAAGTGATCAAGTGAAATTAAATTTAATTTTTTAAAAAATTTTTGGTGAAAAGAATAGCCGAGATAAGTACCAGGAGGATTACTCCATGGCTTTGAGGACAGCCGCACATGCTAGGGGAAAAAGCAGCTCAAACAGAAAAGGGAGCACCAAATAAAGGGTGTTGGGAGGATCCTCTCAGGATGGGAAATGCATGATGAGAGTAGACTATAGTCCGAACAAGATTGCCACTCAATGTCTCTTTTGCAAACCACAGCTCTCAAAAGGAGAGAGATAACAAAAGGGAATGCCTTGCCACAGTGGTAGGGTGGGATGGGGGTAAGAGGGGTGGGAGGGATACTGGGACTGGTAGTGGTGGGAAGAGGGGTGGGAGGGATACTGGGACTGGTAGTGGTGGAGAATGGGCACTGGTGGAGGGATGGGTACTCGATCATTGTATAACTGAAACCCAAGCACAAAAATTTGTAAGTCTACAACTGTACCTCATGGTGTTTCACTAATAAAAATTTAAGGAAAAAAAATTTTGGTGAAGCAAAATAGTTTATATTGAAATATAAAGAAATGTGGGGTTGGGGAGAGATGTGCAAGAGAGGTGATGATTTCTTAATAATGTAAGCAGATTCTGGGTTTATTGGGTTTTGTTGGTTTTTTTTTTTTCATATTTCTTAATTTCAGTGTAATTTTAAGAAATAGCATAAAGGACCAAACTGCTTAACTGTCAGCATGCTTTCTTTTTCAGACAAACATCTTATCAGAATTAACTAAGTGGAGACTTAACTTTATTGACTGGCATCGAATGGAAATGAAAAAAGAGAAAGATCGGCACGCAGCAGATTTGAAACAGCTGCACAGCCAGATCAATGGCTTGAAGGAGCTACAAAAGACCTATGAGGTCTCCATTGGGAGAAAAGATGAGGTCTTCTTTCTTATATTCCTTTTTAACTGATATCCAGGAAATACCTTACTGGGTTAAAAAGTGTAAGGAACCGTGCCAGAGAGATTGCTCATTGGCTGGTGTGCTAGCTCTGCGTGCCAGAAGCCTGAGTTTGGTCCCCAGCCCTGCATAGTCCTCAGAGCACTGTCAGGAGTAAACCCTGAGCAGTGCAAGGGGTGCCCCCCCCCCAAAAAAAAAGATACAAAGAGAAAATTACTTCAGAAACTAGTAGAAAAAGATCACTGAAGTAAGATTTTCTTATTTTCTTTAAACATACCAAAGACATCATTTTATCTTTGCCATCAATTTTAGTGGTTTTAAGAGTCCTGAATGTGCTATTTTTTTTTATTTTCCAAAGAATGAAAAACAAATAACTGTTGTTTATTTATTTATTTTTTTTTTAGTTTTCAAAACTTTTTTTATTATTTTTTTTTATTAGTGAAACACCATGAGGTGTGACTGGTTCAGCCCCTTTGGAAAACAGTATAGACAATTCTCAAAAAATTAGAAATTGAGCTCCCATTTGACCCAGCAATACCACTCCTGGGAATATATCCCGGAGAGGCAAAAAAGTACAGTCGAAATGACATCTGCACTTCTATGTTCATTGCTGCACTGTTCATAGCCAAAATCTGGAAAAAACCCGAGTGCCTGAATGTTCTATTCTAGATATTTTCTTCCTAATATTTTCACACTATCTCTAAGAAAATGTCAGGGAACCAGAATTAACTACATTTAAATCTTTCAGGGGCCGATTTAAGTATCTCATTTGCCATCTGTCACATGCCTTTCTTGTTTTATGGAAGCATTAATTTCCTAATAAACATGGACATCACCTTTTATGTCACTTATTTTTAGCCTCCTAACATGAAAGTGAGGCTGGAGTCATAGTACAGCTGAGAGAGCACTTGCCTTGCATGCGGCTAACCCATTAGATCCCCAACATCCCATATGGATACCCCACCCCACCCTCCACCAGCACCACCGGGGGTAATTCCTGAATCCAGAGCCAGGAGTAACCCCTGAGCATTGCTGCGTGTGGGCACACACCACCCCCCACCTTCACCCCCAAAGAAAAACTACATGAAAGTAGATAGAGTTCAGGTTTGTGCTTTTTTTTTTTCTCCCAGAGAGACTTTGAGAAATGCAGATGCAGCAAATCTGGGGCTCCCCCGAGGATGGTGGCCTCGAGAGGGACTCACAGCAGACACCTCCTCGCTCAGGTGCTTTAGTGCACTCAAGATTTGGGTTTTGTTTTTTCCTTATGCACATGTCTTTTGGTGCTTTGGAACTATGGTCTTCAACCACTGGTCCATGGCTACTGCCTTGTGTGTGTGACAAATGCTGGTTCACAGTTTATGAAAAGGTTGAAGAATGCTGGCTCAGGATATAATATCAAATGGAATATTGTAGAGGCTGATTTATAGCATGTGCAAGGCCCTGACTTTGATCCCTGATAGCGCAGAGTTCATACACTGGCCTGAGCTTCTCTAGGAGTGGTCCTGCCTCCTGAGCACCTCTGAGCATGGCCTTATATAAAACCATGGTTCAGGGACTGGTGAGATTGTACAGCAGGCAGGACTCTTGCCTTGCACACAGCTGACCTGGGTTCAATCCCTGGGATCCCATATAGTCCCTCATAATAGTAAGCTATGAGCACCACCAGGTATGACATAAACCTCCCCTGCCTGCCACCCTAAAAGAAACTCCTGAGTCAGTAAAACTGAACATTTTATATGGTTTACTGATTTGAAGGGCTGGAGTGATAGCACAGCAGGTAGGGCATTTGCCTTGAACGCGGCCGAACGACCAGATTGACCCGAGTTCAATTCCTCTGCCTTCAATTCCTCCACTCTTCTCGGAGAGCCCCGCAAGCTACCAAGAGTATTTCACACTCATGGCAAAGCCTGGCAAGCTACCCGTGAGGTATTGGATATGCCACAGTAACAAGTCTCACAATGTTACTGGGCCCACTGAGCAAATCGATGAACAACTGGAGGACAGTGACAGTGACTCATTTGAAACAATAGATACTGTCTTTCATATTCACTGCTATCCCCAAAAGCCTCTGAGATTCTTAAGTATTTTCAGTTTAGTTTTGTTATTTTGAAACTTCACACAAAAAGACTCTACATGTTCAGTTTTAAGAAATAAAATTTCTGTCCAGGGTTTATTCTTGGCTCTGTGCTCAGAAGTTACCCCTGGTGGAGCTCAGGGAATTCAAACCTAGGAGGACATATGCAAAGGAAGTTCTATCTCTCCAGCTCCCTTTTCCAGCTTCAAAAATTATGTAAACAACCAGAATAAAGTCTCTCAGTGAATGTGTTCAATTTACTGAATCTCTTTAATATAGCAATTTTCAGATACACTTTCCACTCTATGAGAGAAATACATTCTTTGGTTTCAAAAGCCTTTATAGATATTCATGTTAAGCACAAAAAATTATTCACTTAAAAAGTTCATCAAAGTATAACTATTACTTGCTTTTCTAGGTTTTTTGATAAAGCAATTATTTTCTTTTTAAGTAGCTATTGAGAACTTCTAAGGTTAGTAGGAATAGTATGGGAATGATGTCTGAAAATCTGGTCCTGTCTTCAGTTCTGATGAAGATGTCTTGTATGTGTAATGGAAATTTCAAATGTTTGTTCTTCCTGAATCCAATGTCAAGAACCATATTAATTTTTATATGCCTAAACTTTTTATTGACATTTGCCAATATATGTGATATCTTGGAATCTCCTCTTTTGTTCCCCTTTTTCATTGGTACAAAGTGTATTTATGTGAAAAAGTTTTTAGTCTTAAAAATAATGAGAATTAGTAGATGAATACAGTATGATCCACAGGTATTGGTATTTATGTTTGCATTATTTCGATTAAGAAAATCACTGTTATTGTAACATCACAATAATTGGATTAATTGCTTTTCACAGGTGATTTCTAGCTTGTCTCATGCCATAGGCAAGCAAAAAGAAAGAATAGAGTTGATGAGAACTTTTTTCCGCTGGCGAATTAATCATGTCAGATGCAGACAAGATGTAAGTAAACGGGAGACGATGACTGACAGGCACTAGATTTCTAAACTCCAATGAGTTTATGATCTCCTACTAGAATTCTTGTTAACATGAAAGAAAGTGTGTCGAAATTAAGTTTAAATTAATTCACAATTTTATGTTGTTGTTATTTCAGTCACAATGGAGATGTTACTGGGCCCGCTCAAGCAAATCAATGAACAGCGGGAGGAAAGTGACAGTGACAATTCAATTTGAGTATAGCTCAGAAAAGAATATGGTATATGTATTTATTTGTTTTAGGACCACACCCAGCAGTGCTCAGAGCTACTCTTGGCTCTACACTACACTCAGGAATAATTCCTGGCAGTGGTCAAGGGACTGTATATGATGCCAGGAATTAAACCTGGGTCTGTCGCATGCATGGCAAGCATCCTACCCACTGTACTATCTCTCCAGACCCCATATAGATTTTATAGACCTATCACAACATACTAGGTTAGTAAAGAGTGTGCTTCAATTGCAAATGCCTTTGTAATGGAATGTCTTTAACAGATTCAGCCTCAAAGGGGAAAGAATTTGTAATCTTTAATAGATTAGTACTTCTTATATTGTCTCTACCATTAAACTGCCTGAATAGGTATCTTTTTCATAAAGATTCAGTGCTATACCTATGAATAGGTATTCAGTTATATCTATGCATTATAAAATTGTTTAAATATTTGTTGTACATACTTTTCTTGATTAAGAATCAAATAAACCCACTTCTCCATAACTTACTAAAAAATTATTTAGTCTACTTAGTTTGGAGACTGGAGAAATCCATCAAAGTAGAGCACAAAGCTGAGTTTGATCCCTGACACAACATAGCCCCTTAAGCACAATCATGTATGTCCTTGATAGCCCCCACCAATGGGCCTGTGCTAGCTGGGACTGTCCTGAAACTATCAGTCCCAAACCACTGGAGTGGCCCAAGTGTCACTGCCAAGGGCAGGGGGGAGGTAGAGGTCCCCTCAAATTATTCTTATTTTGTAGATATCTAAACTTGAATATATTTAATCAAATGACAGCTGAATCAGTATATCAGAGATGTAAATTAACTATAGTAATTTTATAAAAATGGAAAAGTATGGAGTATATGTTAGTCCCACAAGAATCAGAACAGAAGTGATGGAAAGTTGTGTGTGCGTGCATGCATGTGTGCATCTGTACGTGTGTGTGTATGTGTGTGTGTATGCATGCACATATAGTCATGTGAGCCATAGAGCAAATCTGCATTTAGTTCGAGAAGATTAGTATCTAAGGGAAAGGGAACGACTGTTACCATCATGAAATAGGATTTCTTCTTTCAGAATATTCTCTAATGAGGCTGGAGAGATAGTATAGGGTCAATTCAGTTTCTTTCCCTGGTACCATGTGTGTGCCCCTGAGCATCATCAGGAGTAGCAGAGCCAGGAGAAAGCCCTGGAGCACCATAGGGTGTGTCCCCACACCCTCATCCTTCCCTGCCCCCTAAACGCACATACACACGCACACACGCACACACGCACAAAACACACACACACACACACAAGAATACTTCCTGCTGCTAAATCCTAACGATGATATCTACGTTAATGCTGTACAAAGTGATTTTAAATTAATATATTATTTGAAAAATTATAAATAAGAATCTATGGTGTATAAAAATTAGCCAAAATAGTTGATGCTACCATTATTTTTGGTTTGGGTTTTTTTTTTTTGTTTGTTTCGTTTGGTTTTGGGGTTTTGTTTTTGTTTGGGGGGCCACACCCAGCGGTTCTAAGGGTTTACTCCTGGCTCTGCACTCAGTAATTATATCTGGCAGTTTCAGGGGACCATATGGAATGCCAGGGATCGAACTCAGGTTGGTCCCATGCAAGGAAAGCTCCTTACCCGCTGTACTATCACTCTGGCCCCATCCACATCACTTTTTTAAAAAGCCTTTTTCACTTAAGAAAATTAGAAATTGGAACTGCTTAAAAGGAATTCAAATTTGTTGATAAAAGAAGGATCACATTTGTTCCCATTTGGGTTAGTTTGGCTCTGTCTGTGGAGGCAGAGTCTATAAATCCATCCTGTCTGGTGCTGGCCACCAACGCAGAGAGAAGGTAGTGTGCTCTGATGCCACAGACACTGCCTCCCTTTCTGCCACCAAGCTACTCTGTTGACCTTAATCCTGCTGTTAGTGAAAAGGTCACATACACTCATCCCTCAGATGACAAGTGACGAGTAGTTCATTTCCTCCCATTTGTTTTTGGGTTGATTTCTCTAAATTAATGAGTTTTCGTGCATAGTGAGTAAGAGCTTCGCTCCAGCAAAAGTGAGCAAAAACTAGCTGTCCCCTTCCTACCCTAGTGACCACAGTGGGTTGCTTAGCCTCTCTGAGCCTGCTCTCCCATCTGTACTTGAGAGAGACATACTTACATGGGATTAAATGGTAATGTACAGATTCTGATTACCAAAGTGCTGTGAGTATTATTACTGCCGTACATTTTTCAGCCTACTCTGTGTTTGAGCCTCTGTGTTGCTTGGATTTAGGTTTATGAAGGTAAACTAGCTGACCAGTATTTCCGGAGAACCCTACTGAAGAAGGTCTGGAGAGGCTGGCACTCCATAGTGCAGCGACAGTGGAAAGAAGTTGTGGAGCGAGCTTGCCAGGCAAGAGCTGAGGAAGTTTGTGTCCATATTTCTAATGACTATGAAGCCAAAGTTGCGATGGTAAGTTTTTTAATTTTGTTTGTTGTTGTGGATATCGGGCGGGGGTGGGGGGGGGCGGAGGGCACAGGTGGGCAAAGGCTGCCACATCTGGTAGTGCTCAGGAAGTGTTCCTGGTCTGTAGTCAGGATTGCCCCTTTGGTGGTACTCAGAGGACAGTATATGGTGCCAGGGATCCAACCAGGGTCTGCCTCATGCCAGGCAAAAGACAGCCTGGTCTCTGTACTTCTCTCCAACCCTCAATATTTTTCTGTTTTGTTTGGTTGAGATAGGAGTGGGGGATGTTACTTGGTTTCTGGTGTTTTTTCAGGCCATACCTGGCAGTGCTCAGGGCTTACTCCTGGTTCTGTGCTCAGGGATCACTCCTAGTGTTGCTCGAGGAACCATAAAGAGCCCAAATGAACTGTATACAAGGCAAGTGCCCTGCCCTGTATCATCTCTCTGGCCCCATGCAACCCCCATTTATGCTTTGTCTTTAATAAAAATATAGGTGAGTAGCGTCATTCACTGTTATTTGGTGATAAGCAGCGTAACCCATTTCTCCACTTCTCTCTCCTGCAGTATAGGTTGAAAGAACACTGTTGGGAGAAAGTGAACGCAAGTCAGACTTAATCCTTTTAAATAGTTATGTATGAAACTCCAGACTTGTGTTGGATCTCTTCTCTAGGGACTGTAAATCACCCAGAGCTCCTTATATCTCTTTGCTAGTGCAGCTTCATTGATATAAAGCAGTTGTAAATAAATGGGTAGTATTTTTCTATTACCTTTTAATAATAAAATTTGTTACCATAGGAAAACATTTTAGATCGAGATAAAGACATATTGAAGAAAGCTGTAGTTCTCTTGAAATCCAATATTAAAAGAAAAAATATACTTTATAGTAGTACAAAGTTCCTAATGTTAAAAAAATAAGTTTGTTGGGCCAGAGGATACTACAGTGTATAGGATGCTTCCTCACAAGCAACTCAACCCCATTTGAACTCTAGCACTCGCATATGGTTTCTCAAGCCCCTCCAGGAGTGATCCCTGAGCACAGAGCCAGGAGTAAGCCCTGAACACGGCCAGACAGAGCCCAAAAACAAAAAAAGAAAGAGCTTATAAAAATAATTTTCTGCAATTCAAAATAATATGGAAAACAGTTTGGTCTACTAGGAAAGTGTGTTACATATGGTATTATTGTGCTTTAAATTCTACAGATTTGGTTGAAAAACTTACAGTATTGCAGGCATTTAGTTATTTTTTATTTTCTTCCCGAATGGAAGAAAATAACTACCTGTACATATTTTGCTTAATATTCTCTATGAAAGTTTTACTATTAAAAAATAAAATTTTGTGTATTTAAAACACATGAGCACTCTTGAATGGGACTGGCATGATAAGGCTCTCTTGTTTGGACCTTGATTTATGACTTGGAATGAAAATGGTTTGCTGATGACAACAATAGAAGCAGGATAACTTTTAAAATAAATTGAGACACATTTTTAATATTTCACATAAAAATATCTTCATAGTCTAAGTACTATTTATAGCTTATGCGTTTACAGTGATGTTGACATTCATGATCTTAATGAACAGTTACAACACCTCCAAAATGCCAAAATCCCCATCCATGCCCCCAAGTCCTGTATCAGTAATTTCCTTTTTTTTTCTCAAGCTTCTCTCTTCCCTTTTTTTTCTTTTTTTTTTTTTTTTTGCTTTGTTTTGTTTTTATGTATCTCCTTCAGTTGTCTGGAGCTTTGGAAAATGCAAAAGCTGAGATCCAGAGAATGCAGCATGAAAAAGAGCACTTTGAAGATTCCATGAAGAAAGCGTTCATGAGAGGTGTATGTGCATTAAATCTTGAAGCTATGACTATGTTTCAGAACAGAAATGAAACGGGTCAGTATTCCATTCAACATTCTCCTCCTGTTTTCGGAAAGGATTTACGAATATTACAGTGCTCAGTGTGTTCTACTGTATGGAAATTCTGTGGTGGACCTAACAGGGAGGGATCCTTCCCATGAGACACAGGAACCCCCTCTGGTAATTCTCAGCCAGCCTGATGGGCTGTTCAGCGTACGGGCCTGAGGGCACCTTGTGATTCTTGAGGGGCTGTGGTGCCACATCCAGCGGTGCTCAGGGACTACTGTTGGGTGCGGGGGTGAGTGGCATATGCCGGGATCGAGCCAGGGTCGATGCATACAAAACTAGCTTCTTAAGTCCGAACTATTTCTCCAGCCCATCCTGAGCACCTCAGCAAACATTGATTTTCGGGAGGCCCATTATACCTGTTGCGGACGATGATGAGTTTTAAGGCAAAACCATTTACTCTCTGAAGCAGTGGTGGTGTATAGTCCCTTAGAGACTTAAGATCATAGACCCTCAAGGCTGATGCCTAGATGAGTCTTTTTTTAAATTTTTTAATTATTTATTTGTCTTTTTATTGAATCACCGTGATATAGAGCATTACAAAGCTGTTCATGATTGTGTTTCAGTTTTACAATGTTCCAATGCCCATCCCTCCACCAGTGTTCCCAGTTTCTCTCCCACCTCTCTAAACCACCCCAAGCCCCTCCTGCCTCTATAGCAGGCACGTCTCTTCTTTCTCTTTTTCGCTCTCGTTTTAGGCATTAAGGTTTGCAATACAGATGCTGAAAGGCTATGTATATCCCGTCACCTGCCTTTAACATTCAGTTCTTGTCCAGAGTGATCATTTACAACTAATGTTGTTATAATGGACCCTCCTCTTTCTTAACTACCCTCCACCCACACACCCTTGTGGTAATTCCCAGCCATTGACCAGTCCTCCTGGCCTATTTTCCCTGGCCTTGGATATTAATTTCATACTATTTTTTTAATATCCCACAAATAATTGCAGTCATTCTCTATCTGACCCTCTCCTCCTAACTCATTTCACTCAGCATGATACTTTCCAAGTCCATCCACTAAATCAGTATTTGATTTCTCCATTAAATGATCTTTTTATTGAGATCCAAACTGGAAAACAAACTTACTAACTTTGATAATACAATAGTCCACTTTCAGTTGTCATTACCAGGAAGTTGTGTGTACTAATTTGAATTTAATCAGGTACTTGTAACAGATATTAGATGACACTGGATTTCCCAAGTAAAGTGACAAAGTATAATCATTATAATCATTACCACTGCTTTCAATGGTAAGAAACCTTGTCCCTCCTAGATCAGGGCACTGCTTAGCACCTTAACACATTTGTCTTCTTACATCAAATACAGCTGTGTCTCCTACGTATCCATCACAGGATATGGGGAAAATGTGTGTGGGTAATTACACAACACAAATGATTTTGTTCCTGTTACTCTGATGTCTGCTGGCATCTGCTGCTAATCCTACATTCTGGGAACCCCACTGTTTTGAGTAGTCTTGTACTCTGTTTATCAGAACAATGGTGGATAAAGATGACAGGAATCATAAGATATCTCGCCCACACAGCATAAGATATCTATCAGCAATAATGTTGGCAAGGCTGCCAAGGGCAAAAGTTCAGTGTAATCTAAAGCAAGATGTGCTCTGTGATATTTAGGTCTTGGGGCATTTCTAAACAACTCTCCTTTTTTTTTTTTCCTTCTTTATTTTTTCAATTCTCAGAAGAAAAAAATTACTTCTGGCCCTGACTTCCCTTAAAACAATTTTTTAATAATGCAATTTTTATTTTAGTAGTCCTAAACATACCTGCCTGTCTACCTGTCTTATTAGAGCAAAATGAATATTGGATTTTTTTTTCATTTGTCCTGAATGTCTGCTCTTTTTTTTTTTTTTTTTTTTTTGCTTTTTGCTTTTTGGATCACACCCAGCAGAGCTCAGAGGTTGCTCTTGGCTCTGTTCTCAGAAATTACTCCTGGCAGTGCTTAGGGGACCATATGGGATGCTGGGGATTGAACTGGCTCAGCTGCGTGCAGGGCAAACACCCTACCTGTTATACTATCCTCTGGCCCCAAGAATATCTGCTCTTTGTAATCTGTGGGTATCTTATTTTATACAGAACCCTAAATCATACAGATTGTAAATTTGAATTGCTATGAGAAAGGCAAATTTTAAAAATAAAACTCGCCTTTAAAATATTTACCATTATTTTTTAAGCAATTTTAGGAAAAGTAAAAAAAGTGCTTTACAACTGAAAAAAAATTCTCAAGTTGAAGTGAAATATAGTATTGCAAAAATCAATCCATCATTGACCAGAGTTAGACATTTGTTTCTCTTTCATCAAATCCTTGGCCAGATCTGATCTTCGTAATGCTTCTGTATCTAATATTAAGTCGGCTACCTATCTAAAAAGTGAATCACTTTTACCAGCCTATAGAAGTGTGCGTATTTAGCTTTGGCTTTGTTTTCAAAACAAAAAATAAAATATATGTTGTATTTCATTTATCAAAAGATTTCAAAGAGCCTATATAATTCTCATTAAACTTTATTGATGAGGTAGCTGTTACTCTGTCTTATATAAAGATATCTAACAAAAGACAAAAAGCAAAAAAAAAAAGTGGGGGCTGGAGCAATAGCACAGCGAGTAGGGCGTTTGCCTTGCACGCAGCCGACCTGGGTTCGAGTCCCAGCATCCCATATGGTCCCAGGAGCACCGCCAGGAGTAATTCCTGAGTGCAAAACCAGGAGTAACCCCTGTGCAATGCCAGGTGTGACCCAAAAAAGGAAAAAAAAACAAAAACAGAAGGACTTATAATGTCCACATTTCTGGATAGAAAGATGACTCTCACAACCCTCTAAACACAGAGCTACATAATACCCGCGGTCCAGATATTCTGAATCATCTCAGTGACTGGGTTTCTCAGCCGCACCCTGGTGTTTGGTACCACAACAATAGTCTTAAGTGGACATTTTAACATAATTCTAATGGAAGGAATCTGAAATTTAAAGAAACCCTATGTCCTAGTTTATGGAAACTAATATTTTACTCCTTTAATGTAGAGTGAAGATTATGTTTTGAGGGACTGAAGAGATACTTCAGTGGCCTAGCCCCCAAGCTTTGCATACAAGTGGCCTGGGTTTCATGCCCAGCATCCTATATGATCACTGAGTGCCATTAGGAGTGATTCCTAAGCACTGTCAGTTGTGGCCCCAAAGCAAAAAAATTATTGTTTTGTGGGCCAGATAGTTCAAAGTGCCAGTGTCCATGCTTGCGTGCAGGAGCCCAGGTTTGATCCCTGGCACCACATGGTTTCCTGAGCACCACTAAGCACTGAAGGAGGATTTGTAGCCTCTGAGCACCACTGGGTGTGGCCCCAAAACAAAGCAAGGAATTAAAAAAAAAAAAAAAGATTCCAGGCCCAAGAGATAGAAGAGGGGTTCGAGCACTTGCTGTGCATGCTTTTGAGTCAGTTCATTCCCTGACACTGTTTATGGCTTCCTGAGCATAGAGTCAGAATCCCTGAGCACCCCCACTCTATCCATCTACACCCCCTGCCCCCTGTCAAAGTAATATTCTAGGCCAGAAAGAAAGTATTTGAGTTCAGACACTTGCCTTGATTACTTCTGGCTCTGTATTCAGGGTTCATTCCTGGCAGGTTTTGGGGGACCATCAGGGTTTCTGAGAATTGAACCTGGTTCAGACATGTATAAGGCAGCACCCAACCAGCTGTACTATCACTCTGCCCCCTCGTTCTGATCATCTTTTTAAAAGATATAACTGAAACCCAAGCACAAAAATTTGTATGTCTACAACTGTACCTCATGGTGTTTCACTAATAAAAATTAAATAAAATTAAAAAAAGATTACCAGCAAGAGCTTACTTCTTTCACACATTGCCAGAAATGAAGATTTTACTGTTGCTTACTGATTCATTTAAGATATCAAGAATAAAAATATAGCTTTTGATAGATTGCACGATGAGAGGGCATGGTGTTATCAGAAAATAAGCTAAAGACCTAAATCCTGGGTCATTTATAAGAACAGTTGTATGTAGTAATGGACAGAGGACTTAAATCCTTCGGCTAGGTGCTGCCACATTATTGTGATGGCTGTGAAGGCTGTGACCTCCACTCCAAGGAGGTCCAGCGGATTCATGATTCTTTTATGAATGAGGAAAAATCTTTAATTAGCTTTAACATGTCAGCGAACATGGTCTGCAGCCTTTAGTAGTAATACTGACATTTTCCAGCTAACTCTGATAAACTATATTAACTGCACACGGTTTTCAGCTTATGACAAAGCTGTACCTAAAGTTTGAACCAGATTTTAGCAATCATGTATTTTTGTTGGTATGAGGTAAGAGTAGTCTTCCCCCGGAAGGATTTTTAATGAGATTAACTTGTGTTTTACAGGGATAGACTTGACAAACATTAAGAAGGATGAGTACGATTCTGGTGCTCAAGGAAAAGAACATTCTGTTCATCTGGATCCTTCCGCTCCCTCCGCACCCTCATGCAGCACGCGGGCCGTCACACCTCCGGCTGCTGCTGCAGGGCCATCCAGCACCGCCGTCTTCCCCTCTGGGGCGTCTGTCGCCACCTCTGGGGCTGCTTCTGCATCCATCCCCTTTCCCGTGCCTTCTCATCTTGGTACTGGATCTTCAGTTGCTACTGCACCAGAAGAGATGGTTAGTACAGTTCATGCAGGCGTCCACCCTGGGGAGAGTAGTCCACACTTACTCCGATGCTGCGTGTTTGGGAGCCGAACATGCTTTACCCTGGAGGAAAGGACCTACATGATATTTAAGCTAAGCCGTCTGAAATATTTTTATACAGAGCCTAAGGAGTGAGTGCAGCAGAGAGAGAGAGAGAGAGAGACAGAGAGACAGAGAGGGAAGGAAAGAGGAGTGGGGGAGGGAGAGAGGAGAGAGAGAATAACAAAAAAGAATACTTCAGAGTTTTGTTGGAGCTGTGAGCATCTTCATTTTTCACTCACCTTTTTGTTTTGGAGCCAATGCTCATGGCTTACTCCTGGCTCTGCAACTCAGGGATCACTCTTGGCAGTGCTTGGGGGACCATACGGAATTCCAGGGATGGAACCCGCTCAAGCACCTCTCAGGCCAGCACCATACCTGCTGGACTATCACTCTAGCCACTAGTTCTGATCATCTTTTTTATTTTTTTTATTTTTATTTTTATTAGTGAGACACCATGGGGTACAGTTGTGGACTTACAAATTTTTGTGCTTGGGTTTCAATTATACAATGATCAAATACCCACTGATCATCTTTTTTTAAAAAAAAAAGTACTTTCTCATTTTACATTTTTTAGAACTAATCAAGAAAAAAAAACATTTGATAGTAATTCTTTCCAGTTTTGAAGGAAGTGAATGGGTGTTTTCAAGGACACTTCAGTTTGTTTCCTGCTCAGCTCTGACTTTCCCTTCTGGAGACAGATGGCCGTGGTTAGCACTCCTCTCTAGCAATTCCATCTTGATTTAATTAGGTTTTAACTTTAAAATCATAATTGGAAGGAAGATAGGAAAGATTCCCCGCCACCCCAGTTTCATTACTTTTTCGATACTGAGAAGATATGGCAAGGGGGAGGAGTATTGAATGGGGATGGGATGTTTCTGCAAAAATTCCACAGTGGGATTACCCTGGTTATCATACGCTAAGAGTTATGGACAAAGCACGTCATGGCTCTTGCTTCTCAGCCTCCTGCTGTGAACCCATACTCCCCTCACTGTGTTTCTCAAGAGGCAGTGACATTCAGATCAAAGCTCACAGGGTTTTGTTTTAAAATGCTCTGTTTTATCACTCTTCCCTGTTCTGACTTGGCTCTGACACAACGGCTGGCAAAGTCTTTTATTTTTATTATTTTAAAAAAAAATTTTTTTTGAATCATGATGAGATACAATTACAGAGTTGTTCAATTGAGTTTCAGTCATACTTCTTTAAAAGCACTTGTGATGACTCTGTCTTCCTTGTCTCTACTCCCCTCACCTAACCACTTCCAGGAGAGGAAGGAAATCACCAGTCATTATTGTTTTAGTTCTTAACCAGCCCCTGAGAAGGTGAGAGGAACACGACTCCTACCAGACAGTTGGCAGCCTCAGTTTGACAATTGCTGACTTGGATTTCTGCCTTTTGGGAGTTGCTATCTTTGAGGGAAGATATGTTATGATCTGCTATTACGTTTGATTCACAGAAGTCTAAAAATAAAAGGTCAAGAAATGTGAAGGAGTGAGGGAGTTTCGCCTTGGAAATAAGAGACAGAAATCCAATTCTGAAAGTAGTGCAGCTGTGTTTATTTTTCAGGATTACACATTTTGAAGTGTGATTCTGAACAGAAGATCTCATTTAAATAAACCATCACTAAGTTTTTCACCCGTCTTGCATATTCAGATAACACACACAGAGCTAGATTTTTTTTTTAATTTCCTTAAAATAGGACACACCCTGTGTACATCTACATTTATACTTAACCCTGGAACTATATAGAAAATACCAATGATTGTGCTTTCCACACTTTCAGTTACTAACATTTCAAAGCAATTTAATAGCCCTGGATAATATTGAAGTCTTTGAAACCTGCCACCCACAGTGTTATATATACATCTCATCTTCCCCAAATCTCCAGCTTCCTCCTCTCCTTCAGACCATATATACATTCAGTTTCATCCACATAAGGATAGTGTTTCGGACTCTGGAAAATGAGACTCACAAGTAAATCTGATTTTAATTCTAATGTTCTTTCTTGCTTTACTATTATGATACTCAGATTCACCTCAACATGTCTTGTTTTTAAAAAGAACTGTGAAAGAGCCAGAGATAATACAAGGCTTGAGTTGCTTGCCTTGCATGTGGCTGACCCGGTTCGATCCCCAGCACCCCATATGGTCCGCTGAGCTCACCAGGATGGATCTCTGAATGCCAAGACAGGAGTAAGCCCTGAGCATAGCTTGGTGTGACCTCAAACCCACCCACACAAAAAAGGAGCAAAAACTATAAAGTTTTGCTCTTTTAATGTACATTTAGAGAGTAAGTGAAAAGGAAGAACAGTATAGAGATTAATATATATTGATAAAATATATCATATTAATAACCTTTCAAGAGGTCACATTTAATAATATGTGGCTTCAAGCATATCCTACCATAAAATCTCAGGAAGAGCTCAGAAATAACCTGATTAATTGTGATAGGTTTAATTATGTATGTGACATAGGCTGATGGAAAGAATAAAATATTAATCCATGTAGTTAATATGACATAAACTTGGGGGGGGGAGGGCTAGGGTCGGGTGTCACACCCACTTGTGCTCAGGGCTTACTCCTGGCTGTGCACTCAGGATCATTCCTGGTTGGGCTCAGGGACAATATGAGGTGCCAGGGATTGAACTAAGGTCAGCCACGTGCACGGCAAGCACCAACCCCCTGTACTGGCCCATGCCATAAGCATTTTATAACATTCAGATATTAGGTTTCTGTGTTGTTAATATTAAATAGAGTTTCCAGAATTAATATGTCAAAGCATTTTTTCTGATTATAGAATGTTAATCTGAAAGATGTTTTGATACTTGAATATACATAATCTATTTCGATTTACTTTCTTGTTTCTGTGTATTGGCTTCTGTGGTTTTCTGTTTGTGTTTTAGGGACTTTTATTTGCTGGGGGGGGGGGGGACAAACCTAGCAGTGCTCAGGGCTGATTCCTGGCTCTGCTCTCAGAGATCACTCCTGGCAGGCTCAGGGGATGACATGGGATGCCATGAATCAACCCTGAACTAGCCGCGTGCAAGGCACATGCTCTGCCCACTCTACTACAGTACCACCCCCTATTGGCTTCTGTTTTTAAAATTATTTTGTTTTTTAAAAATCCCAATAAAGATTAATTTCTGGACAGGACAGGTACTTTAGGGGTCAAGGTACTTGCCTTGCAACAGCTGATCTCACTTAGATCCCAGGCACCACCCGGTCTCCCAGGCACCACCAGAAGTGATCCCAGAGCACAGAGCCAGGAGTACTATCCCTGAGCACAGCTGAGTGTAGCCCAGGACCATAAGGATGTCTATTAAAAATATATATATGTATATATTTTTAGAACCATGATAATAAGGCCAGAGAGACAGCACAGGAGGGGAGCCCTTGTCTTATATGTAGCCAGCCTTGATTTGATCTCCGGCACTGTATATGGTCCCCTGAGCACAGAGCAAGATAGTCTCTGAACACAGTTGAGTGTGACCCAAACCCCACCCCTGCCAAAAAAAAAAAAAAACACGAAAAACCCATAGTAACAAAAGTAGGAAAAATACACTTGTTGAAAAACTTAGCTAAAGTGAAAAAATGAAAGAAAAATAAGAGATTTGTAGTCTATGGTTTCTCTTCATTTTAGTCACAGTGACTTCCTGTCTGAACATTGAAAAGTTGTTTCAGTCTTACTTCATATTTCCAGTTGGTAGAAGGAGGTGCAAATGGAAGTAAACTTCAAATATAGGGGCACAAATAGCTAGAGAAAAGAGGTCTGTCGCTCTAGAAAAAATAGCAAATTTATCAGCTCTGTCTATCTCAAATAAGTGTTATCCATTCCAGCTTACTTTTTCTGTGCTTAAACAACACTGATGCTCTTCCAGTCATCACTCAGAAACATCAGTGGCTACACATATTTTTATCTTCATCTAATAGAACAAGCATGATTTGGCACTAAGGACTCTGAATTTTTCTTTTTTCTCTGAATTTTTTCTCTGAATTTTTCTTTCTGTGTTCAGTTCTGGTCCTTATAATATCATACAATCAGTGGTGAGGGAAGACGAGGCAAAGAGTCAGGACAGAATACTATCTTTATGTGTAGAACTGTTTCTTTTCTGCAGATAAGCTCAGTTTGTTAAGTAAAATGCCAAACTTTTGTAGTATGGGCATTTTCAAAACATAAATTTGGCAGTTAAAAACAGCTATATTGTAGTTCACCATGTTGAACAATAGATGGCACTTGATTCTTTTCTCTAAATCTAATTGGAATACTTGATGAGTTTTTAGTTCAGTTTTTAAGCTATTTAATAAACCTCTTCTAAACATCCGCTTCCTGTGAATGAAAAGTAAAAAGTAAAAAAATGAAAAAATAAAAAGTGATTGGTGGTGCTTTCCCCCTTTTATAAATGAGGAAGTTGAGGCTCAAGGAGAGGCATTTGCCTAGTGGACATAATCAAGAATTGGACTGGAGTTCAGACTTTGACCTTCTGAGTTCAGCTCTCTGAACCAGTGGTCAGTATTGTCTCTAGGTCAAGTATGAAGGTACAGACATTGAATTTTTTATTAAGTGCCTTCTTTTTCCTTTTAATTTTATTGATTATGTTAGCATGGCTTGAATTGTAAATGTTTTAAGTTAGCTCAGCTGATGACTTTAAAAATATCAAACATGATTGGAATCAGTAAGTCATCATTTAGAAATGTCAACTGAAACAGAATTTTTTTTCAAATGATACATATAAAAACTAGGGAAATAGCTCAGTAGTATAGTAAATGCTTTGCATATATGAGACCTTACATACAATGCCTGGCACATACCCCCGATTTATGTATATATAAATGTGGATGCAAAATTTTAGATATGTAGATCTTTTTTCTAACCTGAAACATACATATGTATTTGCCAGTTTTCACTGTGGAGTCAAAGTATGGGTCCACATATAATTATCATCTTTTTTTATGTGAACCAGAGTATATTATCTATTATGAGCCCATTTTAATTTTCATAAACCAAGACTTCACAGTGTTTGAGAAGCAGTTTCACTTTTTTTTTTAATTTAATCTTTATTAGTGAGACACCATGAGGTACAGTTGTTGACTTACAAATTTTTGTGCTTGGGTTTCAATTATACAATGATCAAATACCCATCCCTCCACCAGTGCCCATTTTCCACCACCACGGGTCCCAATATCCCTCCCACCCTCCATTCCCCCACCCCACCCTGCCTCTGTGGCAGGGCATTCCCTTTTGTTCTCTCTCTCCTTTTGGGTGTTGTGGTTTGCAAAAGAGGCATTGAGTGGCAATCATGTTTGGTCTATAGTCTACTTTCAGCATGCTTCTCCCATCCTGGGAGGATCCTCCCAACACCCTTTATTTGGTGCTCCCTTCTCTATCTGAGCTGCCTTTTCCCCTACCACGTGTGGCTGGTCTCCAAGCCATGGATCAAAACTCCTGGTACTAAGCTCAGCCACTCTTGGGTGTTAGTCTCCTATTTTGTTACTTTATGTTCCCCAGATGAATGCAATCTTTCTATGTCTATCCCTCTCTTTCTGACTCATTTTGCTTAACATGATACTTTCCATGTAGTACCACTTGTATGTAAATTTCATGACTTCATCTTTTCTAACAGCTACATAATACTCCACTGTGTAGATGTACCAAAGTTTCTTTGACCAGTCACCTGTTCTCGGGCACTCAGGTTTTTTCCAGATTCTGGCTATTGTAAAGAGTGCTGCAATGAACAAACAAGTGCAGATGTCACTTCGACTACACTTTTTTGCCTCTCTGGGATACATTCCCAGGAGTGGTATTGCTGGGTCAAATGGGAGCTCAATTTCTAATTTTTTGAGAATCGTCCATACTGTTTTCCAGAAGGGCTGAACCAGTCGGCATTCCCACCAGCAGTGAAGGAGGGTCCCTTTCTCGCCACATTCTCTCCAGCACTGATTGCTTTTGTTCTTTTGGTTGTGAGCCAGTCTCTGTGGTGTCGCATTTCTTTTAGTTGTTTTCCTTTACCTGATTTAGCAGCAATTTTTTCTAATAACTTTGTTGTTGTTGTTGTTGTTTTGTTTGAGAGCCACACCTAGCAGTGCTCAGGGCTTACTCCTGGCTCTGCATTCAGGAATCATTCCTGGCAGTGCTCCAGGGACATACAGGGTGCCAGGGATCGAATCTGGGCCTGCTGCAATGAAGACAAGTGCCTTATCTGTTATACCATGTCTCTGGCCCCCTCTCATAATGTATTTTTATAAAATCCTAGGATGTATATTGTCCACATTTATTTTCAAGACTTTTTCCCATCAGTTTATACAATTTTAATTAAATTAAGTAGAAATCACTAACAAGTAAAAAATGACAGCCATTTGAAAGCAATTCACTTGATAAATAGAAGATATCAAAAACTACTATTTCATTCAAATGTGTGGACAGAGGGTTCTTTTAAAAGCCTTTGTGATATTATTAAGGCCTATTTTCCTCATATTGAAGGCATGCTACAGCAGTTCTGTGGTTAAGATCTGTAGCATTTTTCAACCACACTAGGTGGTTGGAACTTCCTGTCTAAACTTCTCTAGTTTTTCATGTCTTCACCCTCCCAGCGAGAACAATTTCCATTCGTGGGCATGGTTATGCCTCTTCCATATAAGTAGGCAGTGTAAGGTTAGGAGTTCAGTTAGACCTAGGTTTTCAATTTTCTTGCCAAGAATCTTGCCAGAAATTAAATTTATATTTTTAAATAGCTTCCAGCAGTTTATAAGATCTTTTCTTTAATTTATTGAATAATGTTTCCCTCAGAAGCATGAATTTAATCCACAATTTGGTAAATATTTTAAATCTGCATTTTGATCTCAAATCCTTAAGATTCATAGAAGTTTAAACATTCAGGTAGCTTCCACAAGGATTATAGGAAGAAATAGTTTTTGAAATCCCTCCTCTCAGTTTTTTTATTTTATGTACCACTTTTAATAACAAGCTCATGTCAGTGGTTCTACATGTATTAATTTCAAGCATTATTTGTTGACTTCTTTTCACATCCGAAACAATGGCCTTTAAAAATTTCCTTTTTTAAAAAAAACTTGTTTTGAGGTACACCCTGCTACTGGTGTATCTACTACCTACTCATGGTTCTATCCTTAGGAGTCATTTCATTCCTGGAGTGCTAGGGGACTTTTTGGGGTGACAGGGATTGAACCTAGGCTAGCCTAATGCAAGGCCAATGCCCTGTACTCTGTATTCTCTACCCTAATCTCTACCCTGTCTCTCTGGGCCCAAAATAGCCTCCTAATGCTTATATCTTCTCTCCCCATCCACCTTATCTACAAACATTTAAATACAGATATCCAACTCAGTATTTTTGATGACTATAAATATAACTGAGCCATTAATCTATGTTTTATTTCCTTTCTAGTAAATCTTTGTTCCTGGAATTAATTGCTTCTTAGTGGTCTTCTCTTGGCTTCCTGTAATTAAAATTTATACCGTAACTAAGTCTTACAAACTCCCCATGGAATTATAACCCCACTAAATGTGATTTGCATGGGGTCCTCGAATCACCTGTGTATGGGATCATTTTCATTTTCCCAGCGCCTTTGCTTGCAGCCCACTGTCAGCCTGTTCCCATATTCTCTGCAGCAGTCTGTGGCTAGAGGCAGACGGCAGACAGAAAGAGTTTAGTGACCTCAGTTGGGCAGCAACACAGGGGAAAGATCCATATTTAATAATGCTTTGGTAAAACGGTGCAGGGAGAAAAAATGAGTTTATATTAATAATTCAAAGTGGAAGTTAGATGTTTCAGTACAGTAGATCCACTTAAGTGATTGCTGGAAGACTATAGTTATCTAACTGTCCAAATCAAGTTAGTCCTTTTTTAATTACGAAAACAAGAAATTTGTAATAGGTTTAATTGAAATTTTTTCAATCTGTGTCCATTAAAATACACATACTAAAGGGTAGCGTAGAGTTAGTACAAGGGTTGAGTATTTGCCTTGCATACCGCAAACCCCATCCCTTCCCTTGTACTCCCCCTCAAGCACCGCCAGGACTGATCCATGAGCACAGAGCTAGGCGTAAGCCCTGAGCACAGTCAGGTATGACCCAAATACAGAAAGAAAAATATACAAACGGAAACCTGTTTAAACTATTAGACAACTAAGATGAGCTTAATATTTATCTAGTGCTGTTAAAACTTTTAGTGCTATAAGCAGGGGAAGAGGTTTCTTTATTTTGGGTAAGAATCATTCTTTGCCTGGAAAGTACTTAAACAATATGGACAGTTGATAAAATCAAATGCAAGTATGAAATATTGGCACCAGGGATGTAGCTCAGCATTAAGACATAAGCCTTGCATGGGTGAGGCCCTGGGTTCCGTCTCTGACACCACATGTGCACACACAATACACAAGGCAAATATAAGACAATTTCAAAAAACAAATAGTGAGTTACTTTAAACTTAAATGAGCACTTAATGTAGTTAATTGATAGAGGAAGGGGCATTAAGTACCTGTATGCATTTCTCCTCATTCAAAAATAATCTTTCTAAAGTATCAACTAGCAGTAAGAAAGAAGTTGACTTTACCTTTTGATATAGTCCCTTTTTTTTTTTTTTTATTTGGCTCAGGTTACTCCTGGCTCTGCACTCAGGAATTTCTCCTGATGGTGCTCAGAGGACCATATGGGATGCCAGGGATCAAACTCAGGTCAGCCACGTGCAAAGCAAAAGCCCTCCCCACTGTATTCTCACTCCAGCCCCTCTGCCCCTTGTTTTTTTTGTTGTTGTTGTTTTTGCAATAAAAGTGTGCTTATGCAGTAACAGAGAACTGAAACATTCGGATAAGCTGGCTTGTTGGCATTAAAAAGGCATCATTAAAAGTTAATGCATGGTCTCCATGGGGGGAGGGAAGGTACATTAGCAAAGTGGTAAGGAAAAGGATAGAGGACAAACACATATGTTAATTATGATATTAATTATGCAAGTCAGGAGTGAGGAGTGGTGGGGTGGAGACAGAGCCGCCGTGCAAGAGAGATCTCTGTGGAAATGGAAGAGTGTTGATTCTACATCGCAGTGCCAGTTACAGGAATCTACTAAAGAGACAATTCTAGAGCAAGCATTAAGCCACTGACAACTTCCTGGTTTTGATACTGTTGTTAAACTATGACTATGTGAAATATACTTGCAGGAAATGGAGGAGGGCAGGGAACACTCAGGACCTCGCTCTGCCCCTCTTGTACCTTCCCATGTGTCTGGTTGTTTCAAAACAGGAAGAATTTTAAAAGTTGATGAAATCCCATAAAGTAGCTGATAGAAAAAGGAATATTGGGGGAGATGGTAGGTTTTGAAATTGGCTGTTTGTCTCTTTTTATTTGTTCTGTGTAAAATTTGTCTTAAGAACTTGAATAACTTCCTCATAAGTTAGAGAATTTTGCCACAGATTTTCAACCAACTTAATGTCTATTTTTTTCTTAGTATGTTCCCAGAATTGTAACATCTGCACAGCAGAAAGCGGGAAGAACAATTACAGCCCGAATCACAGGGAGATGTGATTTTGCTTCAAAAAACAGAATTAACAGCAGCTTGGCGATTATGGGAGTTTCTCCACCCATGAGCTCAGTTGTTGTTGAAAAGCATCATCCTGTCACAGTGGTGAGTTCACCTTGGGCCACAAAATCTCTTTCCTGAGTTTAAAGGTTAATAAATACACTTAATTGAGATGTTGAGGGTGACCTCGAAACTCGTGACTCCTGCCACAGTGACGCTTTTAGGAGCATTTACAGGCCTACAGTTATGAAACCTGTCTGTATCTGCTTCAGCTCTTTTAGGAAATCAGTTTCAGAAACATTGTTTTTTTTCTCAACAGTATAAAAGAATTTATCAACTCAGTGTAATCCTGTATGCTGGTGGACAAAAGATAAAATATATAAATGATTTATTAATTTTAAATAGAGGCAAGATATTTGCTCATTAGCAAGCTGCCCGTATAGTAGATAATTAAAAGAAATACCTTCTACTGTTACCATAACTTTTTTCTCTTTTAATATTAACTTCTTCCCTCCTTTCTGTTTTTTTATTTGAGGCCACACCTGGCTATGATCAGGGCTTCCTTCTGGCTCTGAACTCAGGGAATCACTCCTGGGGGGTTCAGAGGACCATATGGGATGCCGGGGATCAAACCCAGGTCCACCACATGCAAGGCAAGCGCCCCACCCAGTTGTACTGTCACTCCAACCCCAGTTCTTCCCCACTTTTCAGTACAGAAGATGGACAATGTCTGAAAGCCCTGAGATGACTTTTTCTATTTTTTTTTTCAACCTGTGAGACCAGTTGTTGAAAATGAGAAGAGGTGAAGTTGTATCTATTTTTATCAGCACATGTGTGTGCAAAGATAGGAAAATTGACTGCTTTTGTGAGATAAAGAAGGTATAAAATGTGTGTTTCTTCAGAACTTAGCCTTCTGGTTTTTTTTATACTGGCGGAAGGATTTCACATTTCACAGAAAAAAAAATTAAGAAATGTGAGGTTTACAGCTGCTCTGCTCTGTCCGATAGTTCCCTTTCAAACTGCCCTTTGCTTATTCAGTATGTTCTGTGCCTCCAGTAATTGGCCGTGAATTAGAGAGCCACAACCTGCCTCCATTACTACTTAATTTGGGTTATGTAACAGACACAATGGCTGTCTCCTGTACTTATTTTTTATTTTTTCCCCCTCAGGAACCAAGATTTAGAAGTACCAGGAACAGTTATTACAGATTAACCAATAATCAGATTTGACACGTTAGCCCCATCTGCTGGGTAATTGCCTGCTCCTGGCATTACTTTATTCTCTGTCGTATTTTCTACATCATGATAGAAAGTTTTCTACGAACCATTTTCCTACAGTTCCTGCCCACCCACTTCCCCTTGCCTACCCAAGGAGAAATAGCTCTTCTGATAAGGTCAGACTAGGTGTTTAGCAACTAAAATGTCATACTTGTCACAAGAATCCTATTTGCAATGGTTATGCAGTTATATTTTATGTACAAAGAATAAAGTTATATAAGACACCTAAAAAATATAAAAAGGAGGTTATTTCTTCATTTTTCTCCTCCAGCCTCCTGTATCACAGAGGGTTTTTTAAGTATATGATGGACCAGAGAGAATACAGTAGCTTGCCTTGCACATGACCAGCCCAGTTTCTTCCCTGGACCCTATATGGTCTCCCAAGCTACTCAGAAGTGATCTTTGAGCACAGAGCCAGGAGTAAGGCCTGAGCATTGCTGGGTGTATCCCAGAAAAGAAATACATGATGTTCTATTTTAATATATATAATTTTACTTGGCAATATTTAAAAGATGAGCTTTTGAAGAAAGCCTCCCTACTTGGTCCCCTGGGCTCTGAGGTAATGTGTATATCCTCCTCTCATAAGTGTCCTCAGTGTCTAGTTATTTCCCTGTTTAGGAAGCTGTAGTCCATTTTAATGGGGCAGCAGGCCTCTGGAAGACCTCTTGTGTGCCCATAAAAGGTTTAGTCAGCGCCCAGATGAACCAGGTGAAATATGAGGAATCAGCTTTACTTTGCTTGGAAGCAGGGACCAGACAAAATTTCTCAGGACATTCTGCATGTTCTCTGGGACTGTATTTTACATGTTGGCTTCAGGGAGGTGGGATGACAGTGAGGGCTTAGGGCTGACCCCTCTTCCAAACACCAGAGTCCCTTTCTATACTTAGCCCCTGTGAGCATCATGCAGTTCCCCTTGAGTACTTTCTGAGCAATAATTCCCGTAGTTCCTTTAAAACCCTCTGGGCCATCTTTCCCATCTGAATTGGGGGGTGGGGAGCACATCTGTGTAGTTGGGTGTGTGGGCGCTCCTCCTGGAAGCACCACATCTTATTCTTTTTAACAGCTGCTTAACCCAGTCACGATTTGCATCTTCAGGACACTTAACAAATCTGTTTTCCATTGAATGATAGATGATGAAATGCTGTTTCATAGATGTCATTTTAGGGAATAACTAAAGCTGATCTTTATCTTCCAGCAAACCATCTCTCAAGCTACTGCAGCAAAATATTTTCGGACCATTCACCCTGAAACTAACGCCTCAACTTCCAGATCTCTGGGAACCAGATCGGCCCACACCCAGTCTCTCTCAAGCATTCATTCCATGAAAGTGGTTGACTAAACAAACATGTTTATGGTGAAGCCTTTTCATTCCTCTGCTTTATAAAGGATTTGAGGTCTTTAGTTTTTCATTCTTCCATATTCTTAAGTACATTAAGGATATATCATGTTCATTTCCCCAAAATTATAAGAGACTTTTAAAAACCATACCATCCTTTGTAACTATATGTAGAATAAATTTAATGTTCACTTGATCACTTGATTTCCTATTAATTGTCAATTTGCTCGAGCGGGTGCCAGTAATGTCTCCATTTGTCCCTGTCGCGTGCTAGTATAGCCCAATGGCGTCTGTTCGCTCTAGTAAAATGGAGAGCCTCAAACTGATCGTTCATGATCTTGATGAAGAAGTCTGACCATCTGGTAGGTGGGCGGCCATGCGGTCTTTTGACATCCCGTGGAATCCAGTCGGTAACAGCTCTAGTCCAGCGGTCGTCTTTAAACGTGATCAGCCCATCTGATTTTTGACACCTTGGCAAATGAGACAGCATCCCTGATTCTTGATCGTCGACGGAGGTCGGAACTCCGGATTTTTTCTCTCATTTGAGTGAAACGTGATATTCCAAGCATAGCTCTTTCAATTCCTCTTCAGGAGACCCGAATAGCGTTCTCATCCTGTTTGCGTAGGGTCCAGGTCTCTGAGGCGTATGTTAATGCAGGAAGAACAGTGGAATCAAAGAGATGTGCCCGGAGCCGGAGGTTCTTCGTCCTCTTAGCTATTTCTTCGACGCTCTTGAAGGCGTTCCAAGCCACCCTCTTCCTCCTGCGCAGCTCGGGTGCCAGGTCATTTGTCATGTTGACTTCTCAACCTAGGTACATATAGCTGTTGCATTCAGAGATGGTTGTTCCGTTGAGAGCGAATGGGGTGTCAGGAATGAGGCTGTTTCTCATAAACATTGTCTTCGTTAGATTCAGCTGTAGTCCGACCTTTCCACACTCACGGTCAAAGTCGGCCAGCATTTGTGCCGCTTGGCTGATGTTTGGTGTTATTAAAACAATGTCATCAGCAAAGCGGAGGTGGTGTAATTGCCGACCATCTATCTTCACTCCCATTCCTTCCCATTCCGGTCTTCGCATGATGTTCTCGAGAGTGGCACTGAAGAGTTTCGGTGAAATGGTATCACCCTGCCGCACCCCTCTCTTGACATCAACGATCACTTCTTTGTAGAATGGTGAGATCCTGGTAGTGAATCCGCAATACAGCTCACGGAGGATCTTGATGTATTGAGCTTGAATGCCCTGATTGGCTAGGGCTTCAATGACTGCTTCCGTCTCAACAGAATCAAAGGCCTTCTTTAAATCAATGAATGGTAGATAGAGCGGCATCTTGAACTCCCGAGAAACCTCAATGAGCTTGGTTATCATGTGGATATGGTCGATGGTGCTGAATCCTTTGCAGAACTCAGCTTGCTCGCATGGTTGTCTTTCATCTAGTGTTCTGCCAATCCTATTTAGGATGACTCAAGTGAACAACTTGTAGATGACAGGCAATAGGCAGATCAGGCAATAGTTGCCAATGTCATGGATGTCTCCCTTCTTGTACAGACATGGATGACTCCCTATGTCTCCCTTCTGCTGATTTTCCATTGGAACGGAACCTTGCATTCAGACAGGTAGTGGGTGAAAAGCCGAGCCAGTGTATTGGTAAGTACTGACGGCAGGTTCTTCAGGTGTTCAGGTCTGACCTTGTCTGGGCCGGGTGCTGTTCGTTTCTTTACTGACGAAATGGCGTGTAGGATTTCGGAAGGGAGAACACTGGGAACGACATATCCATCCTGTGGAATTTGGTATGTTGGTAAGTGGACATGGCTATCAAAGAAGTTTGAGTAGAAGTCATGGATAATCTTCTCCATTGCTGTTCTGGAAGATGTGATCGATCCATCAGGACATCGGAGGGCAGTCATCTTGGTCTTGTAGTTGGCGAAGGACAGGCAGGCGTTACGAATACTTTTCCTGGCTTCTGTCGCATCTACCAGCACTTCTGCCCTTCTCTCTTTGAGGTCTTCCTTGATCGCATCTCTGCACTGCTTTGCGAGCTTGGACGTTCCCTTGCAGTTGCCTGAGGCATGCGCCAAACCACGTTGGTGAATAAGCTCAAGAGTTTTTGAAGACAGGGTTTTTTTGTGGCTCTCTCTCTCTTGGCATTCCTCGCACAATCATGGAGGTGCTGAACCAGTCAATCGTATTCCTCGTCAATGTTGTCAACAATGGAATCTTGCCATGTTGCCACAATAGTGCCAAAGAGCTGCCAGTTGGTGGTCGTTCTGGGAGTTCTCTTTTTAAACTTTGCAGCCCTTTCTCCCCATTCTGTGAAGTAGAATTTTTCACGAAGGAGATGGTGGTTCGATCCCATTTGGAATTTTGGGACAACAGCAACATTGGTCAGGCAAAACCGTCGATTGAATATGATGTGGTCTATTTCGTTGTGGAATTGTCCACCGGGAGACTCCCATGTCCAACGTTTAGATTCGTCCTTCTGGAACTGTGAGTTACCATGGATAGTCTTGGTCGACATGATGAACTCAGTCTCTCACCCTGTTCATTCCATTCTAGGCCGATGTGAAGTTCTTCAACTGATCTTCTCGGTCCTATCTTGGCATTAAAATCACCCACAATGGTCTTGTAGAAGGTGTGGTTTTCTTTATAGAACTTCTCCAGCTCCATGTAGAACTTCTCAATTTCTCCTTCATCATAATTGCATGTTGGTGCATAGACAACGAAGATAGAAACTGCCGGCAGTGAGCCACATTTATTCAAATGTAAACGTCCGATTCAGGTTATTAGGCATTCAAATGAATCAATGCTCATGGCCAAGTTTGTGTTGACAAGGACAGTGACGCCTCCGACACCTCTTTTATCACATGTTCCGAGGAACAATTCCTCTCCAGTGTCGAAAATGGCATGATGAGATTGGTGCCTTCTTGTCTCGGTCAGACCAATGATGTCATACTTGATCTTTCGCGCTTGTCCCATCAGGTCCTCGATGGATGCATCTGATGCCAGCATACGTGCATTGAAAGTACAGACGATCATTTTTGTATTCCTTCGTTGTGGCAGCCTAGTTCGGCCTTGAGATTTTATCGGCCTCTCCTTTCTCATCCTTCTCAATGCTGTCGAAGCCTTCTCATTATTGGCGAAGCCTTCAGCGTCAGGGGAATGAGACCCATTGTAATTACTGGTTTTGGCATATCGAATACACAATGAATAGCTTGCGAGGCTCTGCCGTGCAGGCGGAATACTCTCGGTACCTTGCCAGGCTTTCCGAGAGGGATAGAGGCTTTTGGAGCGCCCTCTAATCGCCCTTGTAGGTGTTACCATATTTGAACCCTATCATATATGGTATGGCAATTTCGGAAGATGGGTATTTAATGTCTTATAATGTCCAGAAAGCGTCCTGGAGTGTGGCGGCAGCTGGGTAGTAGAGGTAGTGGAGGTCTGCCAGTGAGGTATTTATCTGGTCCTGGTAGGGGTAGGATGGGTCTTCTGTGAGCAATCCAATCCCTGGGTCTCTGGTGGTTGGTGGAAGCAGACAGGGCAAGGTAGGGTGGGACTCCTGATTTTAGTCCCTTCGTCACCTGTGGTTGGTGGGAGCAAGCAGAGAATAAATTTAATGTTATTTTTATCTAATTAAGTAAAAGTTTTTTTAAATTAAAAATACCATGGACTCTTTTTCTTAATATGTTCAGCCTGTCACAATACATCACTAAGGTATGTAAATCCTGCTTTGTTTTTTCTCTTATTTCCAAAAGATTAATTCCCAGTGTTGTCAACTAAACTTACAAGAGATCACTAAAAAAAAATGTCTAAGGGACTGGAGAAATAGTATTGGGAAACAAGACATTTGCTTTTCATGTGGCAACCCTGGTTCGAACCCCAGTACTACATTCAGTTCCCCAAGCACCACCAGGAGCAGGCCCTCTGACTGTGATCTCCACAAATTTACTAAAAGTTAATAAAGTTAATATAAACTAGGGACACAGTAACAACAAAGTCTCCAATGGAGATGTTACTGGGCCCGCTCGAGCAAATCGATGATCAATGGGAGGGCCTTTACTTACTTTATTGAAAAAGGCCAAAAGTACTAATAGTTTTTTCACAAATTTTTTTTTGTGACTTTAGGGTACTCATCTTTTATTTTTCCAAGACTTAACAATTAAAAGCAGATTTTGAGGTGCTGGAATGATATTATAGTGGATAAGGCACCTGCTTTACATGTGAGCTCCCACCAGGAGTAAGCCCTTAACACAGCCAGATGTGACCTAAAAACCAAAAACATTAAAAATAACATATTTTTGAAAATCTGTAGCATTAAACCTGCATTATGCTCTCTGGACAACCAAAGATTGTCGAATGGTTGGGTAGCCTGAGCAAACTCAACCTTCTAGGCCTGGGTGGAGACTTCTCAGTGTTGGCCAATAGGAAGAAACCATCTCTATAAAACTGACATCAAAGAATAAGATCAGCCTCTCATGTAATGTATATGACTCTCTACCTGTAAAACAGATTTACCTACTCTACCTATTTCACAAAGTGCCTACATGTTGCATAAAAGCAAGTCCATTGCGAAGAACTGTCCTCGACCTAAATTTCCATAGCTTTTAATAAATGGTCATCATTTACATCCACCATGAAAAACATGCATAATTATATGTTCATTATAGAATAATTAGACTGAAATTGTTCATGATTTTACCTCTGATCTTAAAGACTTAAGATTCAGATTTGAGAATGGAAAACCTTAAATTATAATGACTAAGGAATATAAATTGACACCAAATTTCATAGTTTTCCCATTACAAAAATAATCAATGATCAGGGTAAAAAATATAGTAAAGTATCAAAAAATACAACATTAAAATTACCTGTAATTATGCCATCAAGAGATTAGAAAAACATTTGATAAATGCATTTTTAGTCTTTTGTAGTACATGTGTTAATTTACTTTCATTTTTAGTTTTTGTTGACTTGCTATTTTATAATATGAAGGAATGTCAGAGAGGGGTTAGCTTTATACTGATACGTGTGTAACTGGAGTTCCCAAGGCATCTTACCACCAAACAGACCTACTCATTATTCCTTCTACTTTCCCTATGGTAGTTACCACCACGGTTTTAATTTGAATCTTAGGAGTTTGTTTTCTTGCTTCTTGCTAGTTTGTTAGCTTTAGTAATTTATA